GGACTTTGGCAATGGGCCAGCGCCAAACATGGCAGTGAAAAATGCAGTGACTAAAATAAATAAATACACCCGACTAATTCTCATTTGATCTAGTCGCATTCCAACTATGTGTGATTTCTGTTGCACTTGAAAAATTTTTTTTAAATAATTAATAAAAAGTAATACCAAATATTTGTTTTGAATATCTTCAAAAATATTAATATCAATATTTTACAAAATGGAATATATATTTTTTATTACTCAAGAATTTCTAAATTGTGATTTTAATAAAAATATTAGTATATATTCTTTTCAATTATGATTTACATAATTTCAGTCGTTTGAATTTGTAAAGAAAATATATTTATCTCTCTAAAATCCTGTTTTCTACGATTAATAAAACTTTTTTAGTTGCCACAGATGAGGGAGAATTCTCCAGGATGCACGAACTTTTTAATAAAGTGCTCGCCAAGCGCGATCTCTCCCGAGCCGGAGATCTCTTCTCCGTGCCGGATGCTGATATTGTAGACGACATCACGGAGGTGGTAAGTTTATCCCCGAATGCTCCCTGAAATATAAACTAATTTCATTACAATTTTTAGCTCTCTGAGATCAGTCCTATCATCTCGCATGCGGACTACGTGAAAAACAATAATGACCAGAGCGTGGTGGAGATCTGTGTGACAAGGGTGCTTTCCTGCATTCGGGAAACCCGCTCTGCGGAGCGTTACTGTGCTGCTCTGGTGGATCTTCTGAAGACCTGCCTGCTGTGGAACCTGCAACCGTCGGGAACCACAAAAGAAGAGCCACCTCATGCCAAGATCGCCGCCGACATTATCTCTAGCATTTTTCTGGTAAGATTCTGGTAGTTTATTATAATATATTATAAACATTTACTGATATTGTTTTATTTAAACTACTTACAGAACTATGACAAGAAAGAACTGATGAAAATAGCCCTTCCCGTCGCCGTGCAGTTTTTGCCGAAAGGAAACCGAGAGCTATCAAGAAACCTAGCCAGCTACTTGTCGCTGGCGGCCATTGATCATGCCTGTCTGCTAAGTCCGCACACGGAGTCCGTGATGGAATCGATCTTGTCCGGAAACTACGGTCTACTCCGGGTGCTCTCGCAGGTGTACGAGGTGGCTCCGGAGGCGGTGACGCCACATGCTCCGCTTCTAATGCCCCTGCTGCCGCAGTGTGATCCCCAGGAGCGGATGGCGGTGTTTCAGCTGTATCTACTAATAGTGCAAAAGTCACCCGAGGTCCTTGAATCGTGCGTACCACAGCTTTGCGGCTTTCTGCTCGATAGCGACACCTCCAGCATCACCATGCAGATCCTGCTGAAGCTGGCCCAGCACTCGCCGAACCTCCTTATCGATCACTTTGAGCAACTGCGTCTGGCGGCCAAGACGAATCCGGGAACGATTCCGCTCTGCGCCCAGATAATGACCACCGCGGGAATCGGAAGCAAGGAGACTGCTCAACAGGCCCTGGACTTTGTCCTGGAGCACCTGCCCACGCAGGCACTGCTGCAGCAGGAGGCCACTCGCCTCTGCTCCGCCTATCCGGTGTTGTTCACCGAAAAGGTCCTGGCCTGCGTGCGTCAGAAAAATGCGGCTCTCAGTTCGCAACAGGATGTGGGAAATGGCTTGGGCAACAAGACCTCCGGCGGTGTCACTATTGTCAGCCTGAACAGCTCCAGTCCCAGTCCGCCGCCAAAGCCAGGTGAGTTTAGTTTTAAGGTCTGTTGTAAAAAATATTAATATAGTAAACGTATTATAAAAGCTTTATAATCTATTTCCCCAAATGAAAAGCGGCTATCTATAAAGTATTTGATATAAAACTCCATTCAAAGAAAACTCAACTTCTTATTTAAAATTAGGAATTACCCATTCGTTTTAAAATAAAAATTTAAATTAAGGTCCTGTTATATATTAATTAGTTAAACAAGTTATATAAGAATTATTTGAAAGCAATCTAAGAATACCTAACTACCTATTAAAAATTACGAATTTAAATGAGGACTCTATTATTTATTAATTAATTAACTTTAATATTATATTATTTTACCTTTTCATTTTTAATTATTTCATCTGTTATTTATCAATTTATTAATTGCAATACTTTCTAGTTCCCATTGCCGCACCGTCCATCAACACCACTATCATCCAGCCGGCCAGCGGAGCCAGTGCCATGCCCACAGCACCTCCCGCAACCGCCTCGGCCTCGGCGCCCATTGCCACCTCCACCCCCGTATCTGCTGTCACGCCCACTCCCCAGCACGCTGGCTACACGCGACGGGTGAAACTGGGCGATTCGAGGAGCACAGGTCGCCTTCATCCCGCCAGCAACACGCACCGGAGTGTGACCCGGTTGAATGTGGCCAGTGGATCTGTGGGAGGACTTCACAAGAGCATGACCCGGTTGAGTAACTCGCAGATTAACCAGCAGCCAGGAGGCAGCTCCAACGGCAATGTGGTGGTGCAATCGGGGGCCACTCCAAAAACGCCAAGTGCTTTTAGCAATCCGCCCGTGACACCAGTACCGCCACTGAGCAACAACGTAGTCATCACTGGACACAATCGACATGGAATACCAGTGACCTCCGGCGGAGTGACGGTGACCACGTCGCCCACGAAGGTGCGACCCCACTCCCAAGGACCCTCCACGCTGCTCAACTCGAGTACGGTGCTGATGAAGTACAGCACGGATGCACTGAACCAATCGGTCGGCTCGATCTCCATACCACAGTCTTCCACGGCGGCCAGTTTGCCACCAGTGCAGACGCAGAATGCGGTATCCGTACACCATGCCTCTCCGGCGCTGCCCCAATCCTGCAGCAACGGCAATGCCAAGTCGGTGATGAAACTGCCTGTCAATGGCAATGTAAGTGGTGTAAAGATGTAATCAAATCAGTTAACAATAAGTAATGTGTTTACAGAGCGAAGTGATTGTCTCGGGACCCACCACCAATGTGGCACCTCGGCGCAGCGATAATACCAGTCGAACCCTACTAAATGCCAACAGTGTGATGGACCAGCGGATGAGCACCTTCGAGCCATACCAGATAATGCGTGATCCTGTCCAGCAATTCTGCGAGAAGAACTTCAACTCGATTAAGTCGTACATGGACGAGGTGTCGCAGCATTTGCCGCCGCCCACGCGCTGCAGCATTGAGGGTAAGTCCTTGGAGGTCCTTCTCCCTCAATCTCTAACTCCTTTCCCCCACCATCCCCCACATAAATACACACACACCCCGCACACAAACACATCACACAGTTTCCAATGAATTCGCAGAGCGTCGGACCAAAAAAGTGGCCAAACTTCACTTCGCCTGCCAGATTCGTGGACCCCATTGCCTGTACTCCAAGACTTGCTTCACGATGCGAACGCGAAACCCCAAGACCTGGATACATATGATGTTCCTGGACTTTCAAGTGCGGCATTTTGTAGGTTCTAAAACAACTTAATATTAAACGACATCCTTTTAATCTTGTTTTATTTCTGTATTTTAGGTCAAGGAGAAGTGCGTGCTAAGCACGCGAGAGTCTGGCATTAGCAATCTCAAGAATATCTGGCAGATACTCAAGTGCGAGAATCGCAGCTTCACCGAACTGGTTACCAGCCAGTTTCCTCAGGTCAAGGTGGGTTCTTTATTATTAATAAAACGATTTCTATATAATTTCATTATCAATAGTTTCAGTGTATATGTATTGTATTTATTTTCTTTGAATTACTTAACTTTCAATAAGAGCTGAAAAATATAAAAAAATTGTGAAATAATAATAATGTTATTTTGAAAGACCTTTATATTAAAAATATTTTGAATAAATATTTATGTTTCTGAAAAGTATAACGAAGATTTTCAAATCAAAACCTAAAAATACTTTAATAATAAACTTATTCAATATTACTAAAATTCGCGCATAGCAACATTTTATTTTTAAATGTTTTAGAAGATTAATTTTATCTTGCATTAGACAAGGATAATGAAGATTTAAAATTCAAAATCAAATTTAGCAATTTTTTTATGTTTCTTATTAACTATAATTCAGGAGATCTTTTGTCTGAAAATTCTGAAATGTGTTTTTTTATCGATTCGTTTTGTTTTCTTTAATCTTGCAGGACCGGGAGATCCTGGTGAACGAGCTGCGCCACTCGGGCTTCCTGGACGTTTTTGAGGTCTCCAAGACCGACAAGTCCAATCCGAACTGCAACGAGTTGGAGTACCAGTGGGGCTGTTTCCTGTGCAACCATCCGGATAAGGCAGTGGGATTCCTTAACGGCAGCAATCAGCCCATGATCGAAGGTCAACTGAAGGAGAAGAAGGGCAAGTGGCGGCTTTTCAGGCGATGGCGCACGCGGTACTTTACCCTGTCCGGAGCACATTTGTCCTGCAAGGGATCTGTGAGTATACCACATAAATTGTTCCCCAAAAGATACTAAGTCCAGAACTATTTTCAGAGCGGTGGCGAGAGCATCGATGTGAACCAGATTCGATCGGTGAAGGTGTCGCGCGGTGCTCGCAACATACCCAAGGCCTTCGAGATCTTCACCGCCGACCAGACATTAATACTCAAGCCCAAGGACGGCAAGAATGCCGAGGAGTGGGTGCAGTGCCTTAGCATCGTGGTGGCCCACTCGCAGGCGCGCGACAATCCCACGGCCAAGACGAACAGTTTGCCGGCCCGCAGCATGGGCAGCAGTAAGCCCTCCTTTTAGGACGGATGGATCTCATGGTAATCCCCTCCAGATCCATCCCAACCCAACCCCATTGTGAGATTATTTGTAAATGTAAAGACAGAGCAACGGCAACACACAAAAGACAAAAACATACAAAAGGAGCAGCGAGCAAAGGACTCTGCTGTCTATTATACATACACACCATATATAATACTATATATCATTCTTATATATCGATATATATATATATACCTTAGGCCTACGCCCATAGACTTATCTAGCGTGTACTTACCATTTCAAGGGATTTCAAAAATTTTGCGAAATTGTTTTTATCATTTATAGTTGATTTTTATACATATGTATTTAGTTTATGCTTATTTATTGTACGTGTATTAAACAAACAGCTTGCTTTCGAATTCGAATGCATTAGTTATCATTTCAGTACACGGGGTCTGGTCTAGTCTAAACCCTTCTTTCACCTTCCACTAATGACTGAATAGCAAATTGTAGCTGCAATTGTAGTTTTGGCAATGCGGCAAGGAATTCGGTTTGAGGCGTGCCATATCTCAAAGGATATTTTTATGGCGTTTACTCTTAAGCAAATGTTCGCTTCGCTAAAACAAAACTAAATATATTCTAAGTCTGCATTGTGATTGGCATTCTTTTTGCATAACTGATGTGGCATGATGGAGCTTTTCTTTGTAAAGTGCAACTCAACTTAACTGTAGGATAAATTTATTTCTAGGAATTGTATAATACTTGAGACCGAATACTGGTTAACCCATTACTATTGAACAGGGCCACAGAAAAACATTTTTAGACGAAAAGTATGCAGCATAGAAATTTGTTAATGCTGCAATGCATGCTATGTAAGCTAACTGAAATTCATTTTAAGATCACTTGTGCAGTGGCTTTAAGAAGTCTAGTCGATTTATGGAATGCAATGATTTCTTTAAAATATTCTTTCCTTTGGACGTGGTTAAAACATCTAGAACTGTAATCGATGCCAGTTTCGCTTTGAATTGGACGCAAACATTTGTAACTAACTACGTAAAAGTAAACAACGCTCAAGATCTAATAGTTAACTAGACGAATAACAACAATTTTTGACACAATTCAAGGCTTGGTGGACGGCACATCGCCATTGGCATTGTGATCCGTTTCGTTGAGTTCGAGCAGCTGCGTCCAGTTGGCATTCGTCCTGACGACCTCGATGTCCTGCCGCAACTGCTGGAGCGGAGCATGCAGCTCCATGGGCAGTCCATCGTCCAGGACTCGGGACACATGCTCCAGTTGATTGGCATAGATCCTAAGGCGTTCCACATTGTTGTTATCCTGATGTATGTTTTGGACCTAAATAAAATAAGTTTTTATTGTGAAGATTAATTATTATTAATCTTATTAATATTATGATTATTAAGTGGGATAAATCTCACCTGGCTGCCAGCCATAGTTTGAAGGTATCCGCTGACTCGTGGATCCTGCAGCTGCCCGCCCGCCTGCCACATCTTGAGCAAATTAAGGATTCCCAGGACATCGCCCTGCTCGGAGTCCTGGCTGGGAGAAAGCAGCCGCATGGGCGGGAACTCCGTGGTGGGCGACAGCTTTTTGTAGCTGCTGCAGAGTGTGCTCAGAGTGCAGATGTCCTCGTTGAGACGCTGGCCAGGATTAACGAGGAATGAAGGCGATGTTGGAGAAGCAGTTGCGTAGTGGTTACATGGCAATTAGTTTGGGGATCTCATTTTAAACGAAATAGTGCACTTTTGAACTTGATTTGCGACTGTCGTACCATTGAGAAGTCGATTGATGATGTTTGTTTGATGATTGTGGTGATGATGAAACAAGGTGAAAGAAATTATATCGAAAGATCGTTCAACAGCTACGACTACGGCAAAGATAACTCAAGAAGTAAATAAGCCAGGTAATTTATTCAAAATTAAGCTCTAAAACTAAACTAAATCAATCAAATAAAATAAGATCGTGATCGACATATGAGAATATATCTGGCGTGGCAAAACGATAGCGATATATAGAAATGTCTTCGAAGGAGGCGCAACACAAAAGTCCACAAAACGCTCGGCGGCGATCAAGTCTTAAAACCTTACGTCGATCTCGTTGCGATGGCGCTGCATTTCGGCCTTGGCGCCGCCAAGGTCACTGCCCTTGATCATCAGCTCCTGGGTGGCGTCCATGAGTTCGTCCTGCAGCTTCAAATTGACGTCCTCCAAGTCTTTTAGTTTCTCCAGCATGTCCTCCTTATGCTGCTGCAGTTTGTTCCTAACACATAACAAATATTAATATAAATTCCATTGTATATTTAAGTTAAAAAGACTTACTTGTCAACAATCAATTGCTGTATGCAATTGTCGTTGTCGAGCTGAACCAGTCGGAGGACCTTGAGCAGTTTGGTCACCAAGGTGTCCACTTCGATCACCTGATCCACGACAGCCTGAGCGGTACTGTATTCCATTAGCGAAGGCAACTCGGCCAGCTCCGCCAGTGAATCATGGCAGCTCAGCTCCTCTGTGTTACACTGATCGCGAGGACTGTAAGGGTAATATTAACAATATAAGTAATGAATCTTCTACAGAATCTAGCTGAAGTAACTCACTTCATGGGCAGGCCATTCATCTTGTGCATATGCAGCTCCATTTGCTGCCTGTTGGTGATGGCCTGGGACAACTGCTGCAGGGAGTCATCACCACCTGTTCCTCCATTTAAATTGTTCTGATGGCTACATTGACTAATTAATTCCGTGGGCAGCTCTATCTGGGAGATCATTCCCGTGCAGGAGGAAACCATGTTGTGCGAATGCGAGTCCGGATGAACCACATCCTCCAACACATTGTCCATCATCAGGAGGCAGGGTTCCGTCTCAGAGTCCAGCATTTCCGTGGAATCGGAATCGTCTGAGGGGGTTTGTAAAATTAATATAAATTTGAAAGTACTTAGGGGTGTTATGCTTGACCCACCTCCATTTCCCTGAGGCTCATGAGCCGTGGCTCCTGTGTTTCCCGCCTGAGCCGATCCTGCTGCTACTCCGTTCCGTTTTCCCGCCTGGCGAAGGGACAACCGCTTGCCGGAATGGGTGGTGGCCTGGCGAATGGCACCGATGACAGCGGCTATGAAGGACTGATTGCGCTGCGGAGACAAGGAGCCATCACTGGCCAGGACCAGGGTGTGAATTGCATCGCCTGGGGCTGCCGGGCAGATGGGCAAGTCTAGACCATTGGGCCTTTGGCCGTTCTGAACCTGCTCCGATTCCGCTTGGAAGCGAATGTCCTGGAAATATCATCAATATCATCAATAAGTACTGAATAAGCAACTCAACAACACTTACCTCCAAGTCCTGCTCGGAAATACTGTAGGAGTAGACCAGTTGCTCCACCAGTCCATCCAAACGGGAGTGCAATCCCGACAGGGCAGTGGATGCCCCGGCCACCGAGGCATTCTGCTGGTGGATTAGCTCCCTCGATTTGTTCTCCAAGGCGGAGAACTTAGTCTGCAGCAGGCGGTTCTCCTGGCGACGCTGCTCATTGAGCCGCACCAAATGCCGGCACTCATCGCGCAGCACTTTGGCCTCCTCCCCGCGATTGGCCAACTGGGATTTGACGGCTTGGTAGTCGGCTTCCAAGTCCCGCAGAGCATCGCACTGGGCTGCCTTCTCGTGTTGCAGGAAATCCTGCAGTTCACTGGACTCCTGTTCAATGGCGGCCTTTTCCTGCAGCAGCAATTGCTGAGTGGCCAGGGATCTTCGCATTTCCAGCTGCAGGGCGCGACACATGGCCCTCAGCTGACCGATCTCCTGCTGGCGCTCGAACAGCTCATGGCCACTGATCTGGATCTGGGACTCCAGCATGAGAAGACTGTCGTGGCCACTGCCATCGCCACTGTCCTCCGACGTGGGTGTGCCCGCACTGGCACTCGCCACTCGCGCCAGCTCCAGCATGCCCATCACCCGCTCCGTGTTCAGGTGCAGCTCCTGCTGCATGGCCAGCTTCTCCTCCCGCTCGCGCTGCAGTTTTCCACTGAGTTGGCGCACCTCCTGACGCAGCTGCTCCAGCTCAAAATCCCTCTGATCCGGCTCCGCTTGGGTGCTCTGATTGCGCTGCTCCACGGCGTCCAGGGCACGGGTTTGCAGCATACCACCGCCCAGCACTTGCTCCAGATCCTCACTGGTTAGAGCTGTTTGTACGGCTGTCTCGTGATAGATTCGTGTTCTGGGCGTCACCGGCTGAGGTCTCCGCAGGGAATTCACCTTGGCGGTGGCGGGAGCCAAACTCCTACGACTCGTCGGAACCACCATCACGGAGGAGGTCATGCGGGAATCCACAGCTGCTCGACTGATGGAGTTGCTCCTGGACAGACGACCACCGGTCAGATCCTCCACGGACTGCTGCTTCCGGCGACGCGGTAGGGTTCCTCCGGGCGCAGGACTGCCCCGCATCCTGTTTGCCGTCACTTCGGGGGTCACTGACATCCCGCGACGAGCTGCCCCCCGATTCGCCGGCCAACGACCATCGTCTGAGGGAGTTCCCGGGGTCCTAGCTCGACTCAGGGAGGGAGTCCGCTGCACCTGGGTGAGCCGCTGAACGGACTGGGCGCGGTTCAGGGCATTAGGCAGCGTATCTGGTTTCTGGGGGCGTGCCAGGCGAACCGAAGTGGGCGTGGCAGAGGAGCTGGGCACTCGAAAGGAGGAGGAGGTCGAAAGGCGCGACTTGTTCGAAGCGGGAGTGGTCGGCGTTCCCGGCGTCGCACTATTTCTGGGCAGGCTCTCGGCTCTCTTTAAGTTGGCCACTCGACCACGCAATTGATCCTTGGCCGGAGTTCCCATTGGCTCCGGCTCAAACATGGCCACTTTCTTCTTCACCGAACCAGTTCTCCTTGGCGGCGTCGTCTTCTCACTGCCCGTCTCGCTAGGAGTTTGGGTCACAGTGGCCACCTTCAGTTCGCAGCTGTCGTAGATCTCCTCCAGACCATTGCTGCTGGTGTAGCCGCCACTGGTGCTGCTCAGGCCACGTTGCAGGGTGACCCGCGAAAGGCAACAGCTGGCCACATCCAGCCCACTGTCGCTGCCATCGCAATTGCTCGGCGTGACCACGGATTCGCTCAGCTCCAGGCTGCTCATGCCCACAATCAGCTGCTGCTGCTCCTCCAGGCAGACCAACTGCTGCTGTTCCTCCGCTTGCGATGCCATCTCGAACAGAGTGGCGGACATGGCCGAGCACTAGTCCTCTGTGGATGTAAAGAAGTGGAAAAGGAGGGATTGTTAGTCAGAGCACTGGAGAACAATAGATTTTTTATATGTTATATGTGGCACACACGATTTTTAAGAAATATTTAATTTTACTATCGATGTGACTAGCGCAGTTATCATAACTATTTTTTTATTAAGCCATCCCCGTTTTATTTTTAGGTGTCTCTTATTTATTAAACAAAACTGCTTGAGAGGAAGGATTAAAAAAACCAAATTAATCTGTTTATTGTATTTATTTAACTTGTATCTAATAAAAGTAATGTTCCCACCGCATTACTTTAATCAATACAACATCTTACCCATTATTTTTTAATAAAACGATTTAACTATTTACTTCTTTTAACTAAAAATAAAAGGATGGACAGCATATGGGATCTGTTATAGACTTTAACATAACAGTTGATAAAAGTCAAGTCAAAATCTTTTTTCCTGTGATTCACAGTGATTCACTTGGGGCGACCCACATTTCGGGATGCGTATTTTTGGGATGCTGGCATTTCGGACCGATCCCCATTTCCCGCTCCCATTCTCTCGGCATGCGACACAAAACAAGTTGCATGCCACCGACCTTTTCCCGAATGCAAAAATAGGATTTGTCGAATACAATTCATTTTTCGGTCAAGTTGCCCGGCACGCAACCCGAACAGATGGACGATGGACGGCGGAGGACGGAATCGTGACCAGGACAAGTCGGTTGGATATGATTGACTTGAACTAGTTTACAGGAAACCGACACAGCACGAAATGTTATGCACCTGCCGACATCCCAACGAACTGGGCCAGAGCCTGGGTCTGTCGCAAATAAATTATGAGGAGCATTGTCTCGTGGGGTCGTCATCGTCGTCATCGTCATCGTCGAAATACTTGAGGTTGCCTGTGCCAGCACACACGTTTATTTGGCTGTGGTTGTGGCACGTTGACCCACCTCGCAGACATATGTGGCCCATCATCATTGCGGAACTTTCCAAATTCGCATTCAATTTGGCATGCCACATTGTTGTGCCAGAAATTTGCTTCGCAATTCGCACTTTATCACAGCCATCATCATTCTAGTTGAATCACATTGAGATTCATACCAGACCAAGTCAGTCTGGCTTATTGAAAAGTGATTTTTATTTTCGCAGGGCCAAATAAGTCAAAAGGATGCTAATAAAAGCTAATTATCTCGAACGTTTCAGCATATCAATGTTTTTAAGTATAACAAAGTATCAACTAATGTTAAACAAATTTTAATCCTAAAGACTAAAACAATCTTGTGTTTATTTTTGTAGTTTTTAAATAACTTTATAATATTTATATTCTGATCGCTTTCTTTGTAAGCTTTAAACATGTACCGAATTTAAGTAATATATATTTAAAGCCGAGTTAGGGTATTTAGTTTTCACCTCATATATATTATACTTTGGTTTAATTTTCCCGCTTGTTTGGCTTTACATTACGGTCCCAGTTAGACACACGTCATTAGCGTCATGTTTGTTATGCGATCTCCCAGAGATTTGGGCAAATTTTGACGATTTCATCACGGCAGAGGTGATTTTGAGTGCGAAGAAGGGAGATTTTAATGAAGCTGCTCTAGTTTTCAGCAAATTGAAGTTTATTTGAAGCAAATTACTGTGCACAGCGAGTGCCCAGACGACCAAACCTGGCCAACTGCCAACCGGTTTTGGAAAGGAATGCCCTACCCCTCTTTCTCTACCAGTTTTTTATTTATTTTTTTCAATTTTCTCCAGCCAGAGTGGAAGATCCTGCAAACGACCTTGTTTACGATATGTTAAAGGCTGTCTCAAGTCGTGCCCGCCACTCGGGCAATGCTCGAGTTGACTTTAAAGAGACGTTTCGCTGCAGCCGACTTGGCTCGTTTTCCCATCTCGACATCCAGACAAGACAGCCCCCTAATGAAGACCACTCGAAAGCCCTGATGGGGAAGAGCCTCCAAGAGCCTCCTCCTCACTGACCCCCCAGTAGGGTGCTAAGAACGGCAAAGCGAAGCCATAAACAGTCACATGTCTACACAGAGATACAATGCTATACACACACAAAGTATCTGATGGATACTGGATACATAGTAAGTCCCAAGCGGAGAAGGGAAAAGGAAGGAAAGTCGGGATTGGGAACGGGAACGGGAATGAAGTTGTCGCCGCTAATCCACGAATCGATCGAAGAGCCATGGCCCTGGCAGTGAAAGATGCAAGTCTGCCGAGATGCCAGCAGAAACTCGTTTCGCATCTCAGGCAGAGACTGAGACTGAGGCCTTATCGAAGTCGAGTCTGTCACTATGTCGGTGCCAAGGCGCTTGGCGGAATTGTTTGAATAAACCGGAACTGACGTCGCATTTGTACAGTGAGAAAAAAGAGGAGTGCTTTAAATAAGTTTAAGTACATATTTCTTGTGAAATGCAAAAAAAATTTTAGTTTTTTTTGTTCCATATGCACTATGGCAATAAAATGATACAATTTGTAACTTTTTCTTCGGTGTATGCACATGCATAGTACTTTGTACAATATGGCAAAGATGCAACAAAGTTTTAGCGAATAATAGTTCAAGGCGAATGGTATATAAATACATAGGAGCCCACACTCGTTGAGCGGGGAGAATAGAAACCCTTGAGGGCGATTTCGTCACGGCACATTAACTCCAATCAATGGGCAAACTATTCCTCGCAGAAGGGCCGCTAATTCGATTAAGGTGCTCGACAGAGCAATAATATACTTGTAGCCCGGGCACCGATGTCGCTAACTTTGCCAAGTTAATTGCACTTAGCCGCGCTGTGTGGATGGAAAATGGAAAATGGGAAATGGGAAAAGTTGCAGGAGATGCAAGCGCCACAAGTGCTGCGCTTAACGCTTCGCTCGGCATTAATTGCGGCGTTTGATGTCTCTGATGCGTCGTCTGGCGGTGACTGTCAACGGTCACACTCCAATCTCACCATCTCCCAGACATCTTCCATTCATCTCGGATTAGCATCCATTCATTGAACAGAAGGAGAAGGCCTCGTCTCAGCGATTTCGCTGATTTTGCAGCCCACTCCTGGGTGAGAGTTGTAGATCGTTAGGATAAGCTGGATTAAGAAAACTCATAGTGGGTAGCTCCTAAGCTAAAAATGAAACCAAAAACTATACGTTTCTCTCGCATCTAGACATAGATCTGCTGATCTGCTAAATTCAATGGGTTATCGCATCTCAGGCAATGGTCAAGCTTTTTCTGGGAACCGCTCGGCAATTTGTTCCTCAATTATGCATTTCCATACAAGCATATATATGAGTATATGTACTCCGAATCGCATGACAATTCAGACCTTTATCTGCATAAACAGTGCGTTATGAGACTATAAGGCTTGGTAACATTTTTGATTTGTAATATCGATGTACAAAATAACAAATTAGTTATAATATATTTCAAGCATTAAGCTTAAATTTGTGAAACCAAATCTTTCTTGACATTTCAATATGTTGACTTACACTCATGGCAAGCACTGTATGCATATGCATGTGATTATTTATGCGATCTCAGTTCCTTGGTCACTGATTCTGTGCCATATGTTCTGGACTTGTTTTCAAACTAAAAAAAGGGGAAATACAAACGTTCACTTGCATAAATTTCTCCTCTCGTTTTATTCTGTCTGTTATGGCAGTTGCATTGAAAACAATTTATTTCCACATACAGTACAGTGCTTACAGCAATTTATTTTGAGTCGCAGCTTGGGGCAGGGGATTAGCGGAACCCCTTTTTCAATGCCCACTTGCTGGCATTGTTATCCCAGATACTTGCGGCTCGTGGAACTCAATTGATAGGGCTTCTTTTTGGGAGGCAGTTGGTTCTGGCGCTGGTTAATTGATATGGAAACGGGCGTTATTGGAGACCCACGTTCTAACTGTTTAACAGGTGGTCGTGCGTGGGCGATTGCCACGCCCCGGATTGAAACTCCACTCCCCGAAAAACGTTTTGTTGTTTGTCAAAGCACTTCCTGCGTTGCCAGCGATCCACGAAACTCAAATGAAGTGAAACATTTGTGCCGCGAATTACAATCGAGTTGCCCCCGGTCGGTGTGCCCTGCCCCATCCACACCCCCTTTTTTTTTTAGTTGCAGCCCGCATCTGCTGAACAGCCGAGCCCCTGGCCCTCCTAAGCATACACCATCCCCTCCACCTCCCCCCCTTGCAGTTATAATGAGTTGCAGTTGCAAGTTGTGCGCACCGCACAGTTTTCGTCTGGGGACGAACGTCAATTGAAAACTGCGCACACGGAGAAAAAAATATTCTAAAATTAACACTGCTTCATTGCCGAACGAAAACAAAACAAAACATTTAGAGGCTAGCAAAGAAGTGTAGGTAGTCATCGTGTGATTTCAAGTAAGAGTTGGTTACTGTGCCCAGCAAAATACTTGTTTTTGTTACTACTTTTGTAAATTACCTTAAAATTATTTGAGATCTACTTTAAAAATTAAATTTAAAATAGTATGCTAGGCTAAATCATTTAATGCTAATAATATAATTGCGGGATATACTGAAGTAATAAAGAAGAATCTTCTTTAAAGCTCAGTTCATTAATCAAAATATATTCTTTTTTAAGAAAATCATTTAGAAACTGAATGTTGTTAGTCTATAGTTCAGTTTAGTTTAGGATTCAAGAACTACATCTTGTCTTGTTTATGTTTTGTTATTACACATTAAGACACAAAGGTTCAAATAATTAATATTTGTCATAAAATAAAATCAATTAATCAAAAAAGATGTAGCAGCTCCCTAAAATGAATCACGTACCTATTGATTGTTACAAAATTTCAGAATGTAAAATAAATAATTGATTGCTTTTAATGTAAGATCGCAAATTCTAAGTCGAACTTTTTTGCCCCAGTGCACTGAGTTTATGATTCGGAGAAGGGGCAGGAGTCATGGCAGTGGGCAGTGGGGGAAGTCGAAGAACTTTCCGACTCTTCCGGGTTCTTTCCCTCTTTTTCTGGCTTCGCCCATATTTTGGTGTTTTCGTTCTGTATTGCACCTGCCGACTTATCGCGCATTATGCACACAACAGAGCGGACCGGAAAATTGTAAGCATGATTTTCTAATTTGTAGCCGATTGCCTTGTCTCTTCTTCGCGGCTTTGCTGTTCTTCATTTTTGTATTATTTCCTTTTTTTACAAACAGTTTCAATTTGTTTTGGGGCTAGCACCCCCAAGTCTAAAAGTGTGTGTGTGTGAGTTTGGGGTATCAAAGAAAGAAGAACTACAACCGAAAAGAGGCGGGGTATTAAAAACAGGGGACTTGGGGGCGTGGCTGGGCCTCATAGCGGTGTCAGCTGGCTATCATGAACATGGATTTTGGGTCTCTTGCGGATCCGGAATACTGGGTAACGGGGATAGGCATTTCGGGAATCGGGCATTGGGCATTGGACTCTGGGCATCAGATATTGGGCAACAATAGTACGAGTAGTCGATGTAGCAGGAAGAAGCGGCCGACTGAATCGCTGAACGCTTTTGAAGTTTTAAAGTTTGCCTCTGGTGTTTTGTTGTTGATTTAGGCGGCTATGTTGCTGTTTTTTTATTTCTTTAGTGCCGCGTATACTATAAACAATTTTTGGCGGCTTCTCAGTCAACGGCAACGGCACGCAAAAGTTTCGCTTTGCATTTACTGGAAAGTTTTTTTGAAAAGCAGATTGGGCAACAGTGAAAAGTAGGCAACTCCAAAAGCTGGAAAATACTTCAAATTCTGGGGAGTACACTGGGCTATACATTTTCTTTAAGGTTAATGGATGTGCGAATAAAATTTCTTTAAATTTAATGGCTAATTAAAATAAATATGTTCTTAATTGTTTTGCACCGATTTAAACTGGATTTATTGATTTGATTTAATGTTAAAAAAAATCAGTAATTTGGTCGTAGCAATGAAAATAATGCATCAAAGAAAAATTTATTTTTGCCCATTTCCACAAAAATTGATGTCCATAACAATGCAACTAATTGAAACCATTAAAACAAGAGTACCAAAAGTAATGATAATGGTTTCAAGCCACGAGTCAGCCATAACAATTTCGGAATGTCATACCTCAATAAACTCGTAATACAATTCCCAATAAAATTACATTAAAATCTAAGCATTTTTTCTTATTTGCAAACTTTGCAAATATTTATGATGTAATTTTTCGAAATCAGGGGATCTTTAGCCTAGGACCTTAGCTTTACAAAGCTCGGCTGCGGGTTCGTTTTGTCTAGGTAACAAGATTATTTTAATTTTTCAATGTTTCTAATTATAAAATGCTTTCAATTAATTCTCAATTTAATTCTCTCCCTAGTTACTTTAAGCTGATGGAGTCATATGATTGAACACAAGAGTCTTCGCATCTTGAAACTCTTTTTGCATCTGAGAGAGTGTGTATTAATCATTGTTCCCGCATTGTCTATAAATAGTTTTTTATGGACTGCCAGCGAATGAAACGTACTCCGCGAATAGAGTTTTTTGTGACAAATGTGCCGCACTTGATTTGTTTTAGATGTGCGGAACTGCTGAGGGCGGAATATCGTTCGTTGGCCTGGTCCAAAAGCGAACCGGAATAGACCGGCGTAGACCGGAATGAAATGGTGACTAGCACTTCTCTTTCCCACTCGCTGCAGCGCTCTCTTTGTGAAACTCTCCGGCTTAATTAACAACCCATTGCGTTGGCAATTACGCCAACTACTAAAATTATTTGTCATATGGCGGAGAAAGTCGGGATTGCGGACTGTGGCTTGATCTCCATTGCGACGTTCGGATACTTGGCCTATGGCAACTTGCTTTGGTCTTTTAACAGTTTGGATATCAAGAAAATGCCTCTTTACGGCATGCCATAATACACATAGTTTTCATACCAATGCGAGTAAAAACAATGAGTGGTGTACTTCACGCTCCGCGGAGTTTTTCAGCGGCATGCGGCACACGACACTCTCCACCGCCAAAAGTGGGCGCAAAAAGAGGGGGAAAAGCGGGGGGAGGCGGTCTTGACCATTGACCAGCACCGCTCAGAGTTGAGCTTGACTGGAGGCAATCTATAAAGTCGAGGCAAAGCCATAAGACCACACAGCGAATATATCAGATAAAAAACGTAAAATCACTGAAAAAAAAAATATTTTAAAATGTTTCGAACGTCGTTTAACACATTATTGAATTATTTTTGAAAACTACAAATTTATTTTAGATATTAAAGGAATAACTTAACAATAACTATCCAGATTGCTAAATGATTACCTTAACCAAAAGTATCATTATAAGTGCATCGAAAGGTTTTTCTAACGTTTCATATTATCATCCGATAATATTATTTGTTTGGTATCATTATATTCCTTTTTTGATATGATAAGAATATATTTTTGGAACCAAATATGTCTAGTAGATAAGCCATTATTAGGCACCATTTCGATACAATGAATACTGCCATTTATTTTTGTAATACATTTCCTCTATAAAAGAAAGATAAGTTCAATGGAACGTTGGATTTCAAAAATCATCATGATTATAATAAGTAGATTTTATGATAAATGATATATTAAATATTTATTTAGTCTTTAACGGTATATATTTGTAAAAGGTATATTTATAGTTAATATTCAATAATTTCGACTAATTTTTAAATATTTTCTCTCACTGTATAAACAGCCAAAAGCGGCACAGACAAAGCGAATGAAAAGCATCTGGAGACGCCTGAAAGTCTCGCCTGAGAGCCTCGCTCATTGTCAACGCGTGTCTCTAGAGCTTTGGCAAGGTTCCAGGCAGGGTTCCAGAACCGTTCTCCAAGGCACAAACCCCCTGAAACGCAATAGCCGAGTGCCTTTTGTCTGGGGAAAGACGAGATGAGGCTCTGCAGCCGCCTGAATTCTGCTCTGTTTGCCCTCGTTTATCGTGTTTCAAGGGTTCACAAATCGAAACCGAAGCAAAACTGGCCATTCAACTGACCTTGAAAACCACCCAGACATGTGCTCGTATATGCGACCGTTACTGATTATAAACAATGCAAAAATTTGGACAAGTTTTTAAGGGAGAGGGGTGTTGGAGTGTCGCTAATAAAAAAATCAGGCTCGCTGATTCGAGCTGCTATATTTCGCACACTTAAAAAACTTGTTTATCATAAATTATCGCCATTGTTATTGGGAGACCCACTAATCGGACATTTATTCGCCGGTCGGTGGTCGGTTATCAGGGGAAATACATAGAAAATGCACTACTTATCTTGTGATTTCGGGGAAGCCAAAGTGGTACAAAGTGCTAAAACTGGAAAGTGCTGATAAGTCGTATCGGCGAAAGGCGTGTGGGAAAGCGAAATGTGTCACACGAAATGTGTGGAAAGCACAAGAACGGAGGCTTGTTTCTTACGACTCTCAGCGGAAACTGCATTAATTGCTGCTTAATTTGTTTTTTCCTGAACTCACTCTCCATTTTGCCATCCCCTCCCGCAAATTGTCGCATTATGGAGTAACGGTTGCAATGTCCGCTTCTCCATCAATCGGGGCTTATGAATATGGTAAACGCCACTTAAACAGGTCGCAATACACAATAAAAAATCGTTCCAACAATAAAACCAAACTTAAACTCCTACTAATTTAATAGTTGCAAAAAATCAAATTAACAATTATTGCTACTCCCTTAGTATATTCCTAAAATCGATATAAAAATCATTAAAATTAAAAATGTTAGTATAATTTCTTTTAAAGATATGACTATGATCTTAAATGTTAATATCCTAAAAACAAAAACATTTGTTGTAAGCAAAAAACGTACTAAATCGGTTTTTCTTCTATTTTTTCGTTGTATCGCAAACGAGAACACGTCATGTTGACCCCCATTTTCCGGCATAACTTTTTTCCAGTGTGTTAGTTGTGATTGTTTGACTGACTGACGGACTGACAACAAATTGCACTCTTCCTGATTGCTTCGTCGCTTCAAAATCGATTATCGCTGAAGTCATGCAACTGAAATTATATTCATCGCTTGCCCCATGTATATACATATACATATAAAAGTTAACGCTGCATAATGAATCGCGGAGAACGTGGCTAGGATACAAAATCCGGAAGCCCCAAGTAGGCCAGTCCTGACCTTTTTAATTTCAGCTAAAAACCAAAGCCACACGACGCCAAGACAGGAGGCTTGCCACCTCTGACCCACCACAACCACCCCCTCGTCCCTCATCCACACTCCGATGTGGCTTCAACTTAAGTCGCAGCTCATATTCGATAACCACTTTCTACCCGCCAATGAGTTACAGTGGAGACTCAATATCGGGCTGATCTTATTCAATAACAATTTAAATTACTTTGTAGTGCAATTAAACAAATTTGAAACCTAACGTATGTTAAAGAGTATCTGGACAAAATTACTTCAAACGTTTGCAGTACGAATTTTTTATAAAAATTAAAAAGTTTTTAAAATACGTAACCTGGTAGTTTTTTGTTATAAAGCAACACTTATTATATGTACTTTAGGGTTTTAGAATTTCGTCATAGTAGAGTTGTACTGTAGTAACTCACCCACGGAGTTGGAGTTGAAGGAGGAAAACTGTGCCAGCGGTGTTGAGGCTGCTGGAGTTTCGTTCGTTGATTTGCTCGTTTTTGCTGTTTTGTTTGTTTATTTCCTGGGCTGCTGATGTTGTTGTTCAGTTCAGTTCAGTTGTAGTTGTTGTAGTTTCTTTGGTGGGCGACGATGGAAATGTCAGAGGGTCGCGGCATTACGGCCTCCCAGGGCATTCTCTTTTTGGTTTTGTTATTTTTCCAGCTCTGCCTGATAATTCTATTATTGCTCTCGCTCTCTTGGGGGGAGTGCAAAATAAATGGATGGCAATTCGCGGACGGAAATTTGCGAATTTGGCAAGCCGCTCGCTTTAGTGCAAATTGAATGCACAAACAGAGAGAAATGGAGTGAAATTATCACCCGGTGTTCTTTTTCTCTCCCACACACACACGCGCGCGAATTTTATGTGACAGCTGCAGTTTGAGAAAAGGACACAATGAGTGATCACTCATGGATTCGTCCTGTCGTTCTCTCTCTTCTTTCTTGTCCCTCTCTCTTGTTCACTTCCTTTTGTTGTTTCGTTTACCTAACCCAACTGCTTATTTGTATTGCCAGGACTCGCACACTCACTCACACACACCAATACTGAACTCGAAGGAAAAATCGATGATGAATCTGCGAATTAAAAGTCTGCACGGCACATCGATTAATTTGCCGCAAAAGCCTGTCGCTTTAATTCAGTTTTTCAGCCTTGTTTTTACTGCCCGAGAGCAAAATGACTGCCAGGCTTCGCTGGAAAACCCGTTCCGCGCGCAGGAAAAGCGGAAAAAGTAAAATCGAATAGCGGCCAGGTAACAAAACGCGCCCACTCGCGGAAAACAACAAGTTTAAAAATTAATTAAATCGATATATATTTACTAAAACATTATATATATCATTAAACTTCTTTTAAGTATCCATGTTTTTGCTTTGATGTTTGTAAGGCGGACAAAAACACACAACCGCGTCGATTTTCTTTTCAGTTCCTCTACAAATCCCTTCGAATGCCGCAACTTTAAAGAAATATCGATGTTTCTTTAATAATATGTTTTAATGGGAACCGAAAACAGCGCGCGCTGCAGCGCTCTCTCGAAAACTACAGAGAGAATAACGGTGCGGGTTGCTTATATAGACTTTAAATGTTTAGAGAAACCAAGTAAATTTATGGTGAAAATACCAAAAACCAAATTGTCTCTCTCTTCATCTGTTAACAGTCTGTTATTTGCAAATGTTAAGTTGTATCTTTCGGTTGCATCAAAAGTATCTGAAAGTATATTTTAAAGTAATAATGAATATTTTCATTTATATTAAAGAGGCGAAGAATCAATATTCCATCAAACCTAGAGCAAAAATAAAAATAAAAACGGTTTTTGATAAGACAGCATATTTTTGGCGCCTAGTTTTCAAACACGATTTTGTAAGTCCCAGAAAATATACTAGTCAGATAAGCTATAGTCTTATACGTTAGCTTATACGTTAAATAATCCGTTGAATTTAAATAATACTTTATTGAGGTTAAGCAACGAATTAAAAAAATGTACATAAAATAATGTCGGCCAATGCCTTATTGTTTTATGAATGAGTCTCCAAGTAAAACGGAATCTTAATTTTAAATATTAATTTAAGAAACCTATTTATGTTTGTAATGTATTATATATTATATACTTTTATATTTTCTGTTTTGCATACAAACAATTGTATAATTAGATATATGTTTTAAATCTAAATTTAAATAAAGAATTAATGATTGGTCAAAATTATAAAAAGTGTATTTCCCAAATATATGAAATGCCTCATAATTAAATTGTAACAATTATAATATTGTGTGGTTATAAACAAGCAAAATATTTTATGTTTTAAACATTTTAAAAAATGTTAGAGCTTGAATCAAATATTTTAACTTACTTTTCTTGCGAAATATAAACATACATATTAATTTTAAATGTTTGTTATTTTCTATTCACGTGACCAGTTGTATTTCACAATTCCATGAAATCAATATGCTATTTATAGACACAATGACTTTATTTCATTTTTTAGCAACATTGCAATATAAGGCTAAAAAGCTAATTAAGCTAATGTTAAAATATAGTGTTTTTAAAATTATTTTAAGCAAGTACATATAAGTTGAGGTTAGCTTTGACTGTAAAATTATGTAAGTATTAAACACGTGATCAAAAGAAACATTTTCCCAACTCCATGAAACCGCTAAGTCTAAAAATAGCAAAGGTGACGTCACTTTTGTCGTACATTTGTATGTGTGTGCGACTGATAAACAAATGCAAATGTTTAACTTCCAAAAGTCGCGATAAGCTTGGCGCCAAAGTTGCCTATAAAAGCTGAGCGGCTAAGACCCCAGAAGCCAGTCAAATTTGAGTGTTCAAGTGAAGCAGCAGCAATATAAGCAACAGTACCAGCAGCAACATCAACAGTTTCAGTAGCAATTCCAGTAGTTCCCGCAGCAACACCTGCAGTTGCAGCAGTTAAATCCAGTCCAACAGCAGCAGTAAATCAAAAACAAGGTGTTAAGTGAATTTCTTATCGAGTCAGGTGTAAACTAGTGCAAAAATGTCGCAATCTGATAACGCGGCACGTGAGCAAACTGCGGCAAACCCGGTACCCGAGGCTTGTCAAGGCTGCCGCGGCCAATTGCCACGTGCCACGCCCGTGGAAGTGGAGGACATGGCCACCCCGTCGCTGGAGAAGCTCATCCGCAAGGCCAATATGGCCCAGAAAATGCTGAACGATGTGATGAAGCAAATCCAAAAGCAGCAGCAGGAATCTCAGGTGTCCGCCAAGGAACCAAAGTCCAAGCACCTAACATCCGATGGAGGTAAACGACGACACAGGGGACGCAAACATGGTCACCACTCTAGCTCATCTTCCAGTTCCAGTTCCGGCCACAGTGACTGCGAGCTGATTCTCGCCGAGAAGGAGGAGATCATGCCCAGGAGGAGACACGTTCGCGAAGATCGCAGACGGGATCGCTCTAGGTCCCGCGGTCGTTCCCGTGGCCACTCGCGTGGTCGTTCTCATGGGCGTTCTCGTTCCAGATCCTACACCGATTCCCGACGATCCCGAGCACTGCCCCTGGCTCTGCCCGTTCGCATTTCAGTGTGAGTATCTGGCTTCATTCAGTATTATGCATTATCCATATTATCCATTAAGTGTGCACACGAACAAAAATCCAAAAAAAATAATAAAACATAAAAATTATTATAAGAAAAAATTATGAGCGAGTTTTATTTCTTGTTTGAGGGGGTTTCTAAAATAAAAAATTACGCTTCATGATGAAGTTTAGATAATTTAATTTAATGCAAAATTTTGAAATTGGCAAACATCAGAATATATTTAAAAGGCAATATTTGTAAAATATTAAAATACATTGATAAACATATTTTTATGTAAGAGACTAATTATTTCGAAAGTAAAATCAAGCAGGAAAATACCAAAAATTAAAGACAAAAGTTTAAAAAAAAATTGTTACCACAAAATAATTTTTTATTGAGGAAACTACGGGTTTTTCGATGGGTGTACTTACTAATAACAAGAACTGAGTCAATTACAAGTTTGTTTTTAATGTTCCCTTACCTTTTCATAAACAATGAAACACGTTTTTTTTATTTTTAAATATTTCTTATATTTTTTAAATGCCGTTTGTTTTTACATTAATAGTTTTTATTTTGTAGTTGTTGTGCTAATTATATGTTAAACATAAAAATTGTTTCTTCCTCTCGTATAAGTAATTGGTTTTATTCTTGTTTTGATTGTGATCTATTAAGTTAATTTCATCTTTTGATTTGTAGACTTTGCGGTGAGGTTGCCCCTTGCAGTCGCAACTTGCTGTTGTTTTAATAAATTCGTAAAATTCGATGTTGAATGTAATAAACCATTTCATTGCTTCGTACAAATAAATGCATATAAAAACCGACTAAAATCGCTGCGGCGTTAATGCCGCAATCGCTATATAAACAAAGAGTGCTGCTGTATTGTGAACTTGCGTTTTATTTGAAATGAGACACGAACAAATTATTCTGGGGCTAGGGCCCAATAAATTGCCCCAAGTGAACAGCTTAATCTGCGACTTTATTTTGTGGATTCTGTGTCTTTAATTTGTATGTTCATATTTCATGGCTGCTATTTACTCGCTTTTCATGGCTTGCATTATTTATTGTATACTCGTAATTTAAGAGAGCTTTGTCTAAAAACAAATTTTGGCACATGGTTTCCGAAATGGGTTCGATCCTCTGATCCCTCCGATCCTCCTCGCTTTTATTTGACTGTTTAATGGGTTTCCTTATGCTTTCGTAGGCTAGTTAAAATACAGCTATGTACTCGTATTATTTGGATTATTCGATACGAACTAAGAGTTATATTAATTTGTAGTTTGTTTGTCTGCTCCTAACTTGGCTTTCGTTTCTTGTTGCTGCTTGATTGAGTGTTGGTAATAATTCGAAATTTGATTACGACTTGTATTTGATTCTCCTACAGGCTCTTTCTCATTCTCATTCTCTTCCCTTTATTTATTTCGTTTTTAAAAACATTTATCTACAACTCGACGAATGACAGTTTATTGTAATGGAAACACTAATGTGTGGTTACTGCGATCTATGAATACTGCTTTGAATTCAAATTCAGCTGGCGACATATTCGAGTGTGTGTGTACATCGGCTATATCGAATACATTTAGTTAACATTTTCATTGTGGCTTTAATTGGTTTCTGTGTATCAGTTTTCTCAGCGGAGTCATGATGTCAGTCCTTTGAGGGTTTACTTTTGATTATTTACAAAACATACTCAATACTCTACATGTACGTGGTTTTGGATTTTCGGTTTTCGATTTTCGATTCGCTAACAACTAGATGAGTATTCTTCGATCGTATGTATCGGTATATATCCTATATACATGAGCACACGACAGTCTCATAACGTAGACACGCACACGGACACGTATAAATATACATTCATATAAATTTGTACACAGCATATATCTGAGTTTTTGGTTTAGTTCAAATTTCAAGATTAAATTCCTCGTTACATCGCTTGGGTGCACTATAAAACCGAAACTTATAGAACTACTTTAAGAGTAGCTATAGGCCAAACACTCATAACTCATTACTAATTGGAGACATCCACACTTAAAAGATCATCCCTTTCCTACATACGATGAAAAACAGTGTCGAGTTCGAATTTCGATTCGATACGATACGATAGTATGCGATAGTTTTGCAGTTAGTAGTTTGAGTTACAGTTTCGAGTGATATACGCATTAGTCGTTATGGATACTTAAGAGACTACGTTAGTATATATACATACAACATTTTTGGAAGTTCGACAACTGACCTGGGTTCTGTCTGGACACATGCCATATTCATTCACATATGTATACGTGGGTATATAGCATGCACAATCGTTTAATACTTAGATATAGTATGACCTCTATAAATACGGGCAGGAGTTTATAATGGGAAGTGTCTTGATTCGGTATGCTTGGTATTTGGATGGTTGGTGCAGAATTTTGATACTGATTGTCCGAAAGTTGTTACTGAGTGTAATTAATTTTGTTCAGTGGGGGGGCAGGATTTGATTTACTGGGTTAGGGGCTCTGCCGAAAGGTTGGAGGGGTGATCGAACTGGGGGCGTAGTGGTAAGGTAAGGTAACAAATGCATTACAAAAATGTACAAAAAGGGCCCAAGTGCTGATTCCTCAATAATTCTGGCTATCGGGGGGCCTGGCCTCATCCTATCTGCTGATCTTGCGATCAGATCTTACCAATGTCTCAGACGGATATCGAATAATCCGATTTCTCGCTAAGCAATTTCTGGCCAGGAGCGGGTGAATGTTGTTGTTGGCGTTGCTGTTGCAGTGGCTGTTGTTGTTGTGGCTGCGGTGACTTTGAATGCGCTCGTTTGTGTGGTTGCTGTGGTGCCTGTTGCTGCTGTTGCGGGTGATGTTGCTGCTGCTGTCGCTGTTGCTGCTGCTGCTGTTGCTGGTGCTCCTGCTGCAGCTGGGAGGTGGTGGATGAGGGTCGGGACCAGAGAGATGACCTCTGACCCAGCTTCAGCTTCTTAATCGTGTCCACATCGACCTCCACCTCGGCCAGCTCGATCCGTTCGCCCAGTCCACCATCCTCGGTGCGATGGAAGGCGCCGGTGGTGCACTCGGCCTGCAGCTGAAGCGGATGCAGCGTGCGCAGGATGCCGGCCCTGGATGCGTGTTTGTATTTTTTTTTTTTGGGGGTTGGGAGGGTGGTGGGTGACGATCGTTGGGGGGTGAGAGGGGGTGCAAGTACAAGAAAGGGTCCAGAGTTGGTTTTCGGATTGCAACCACAGCATTCAAGCATTCATTCGGTTAAAGACCTAGTGGTGTAGTTCTAGTCTGGTTGTGTGGTTGGGTGTGCGTGGGTGAGCACAGTTTTCACGACTTGATCTATAAGTTGGGGTTTTTCAGGCGATACTGATCTAATATTAATGGCTTTAAAATCTCCAGAATGTACAATTTTTCTTACGGAGGAAAGGAAACCGAAATCTATAGAGTTTTCAAACAATTTTTATAAGTGGACCAAATACAATTTTTTGCCTACCATACTGTTAAGAATCTTTTGATTTAAACCTGAATAGATTTTTTTGGCAGCTCTGTTATATACAGGGTTGCCCTCCTAGTTAAAACTCTTTAACAAGGGTGTCTAAAAGTATGCAGTAAAGAATGTAATTTCGTAAATCCATCGAACTTTCAGATTCAAATTATTTTGTTGCATATTTTTGAGACACTTCGACACTTAAACATTTAAATATAATTTACAGGAAATGTTACCATGATTTGGCACTCAAATCCAATTAAAAGAGAGAGATTTTTATTAAACCGTATCCAAGATCTAGTCCACCTGATCCCAGCTGAGCTACCATGCCGTGAAAAGCGGCCTTAACGGGCCCCCTCGGGGGGACCACACACCTCACCGTAGGCCAGGTCTCATGTCTGATCTATCGGGTCCATGTAGGTGCAGGAGATCTCGCCGCTGTCGTAGCCGAAACCGTCCATGGCCTCCATGGCCCCACCAACGTACTCACTATTCCCGCCCCCATTGGCCGTATCCTATTTGGGCAGCGTGGGCGCCGTGAAGAACTTGGAGGAGAGCATGGCCGTCGAGGGGTTGAGCAGCGTGCCCGGATGCGGCTGTTGCTGCTGCTGGTGGGGATGTGGTTGCTGCTGGTGGTTGAGGTTCTGGTGGTGGTGGTGCGGTGGCTCATGCGCGGGCATTATGGACTTGTGGGGTATGGGGCGGAACTGTGAGGAGGGCGGCATGCAAGCTACCAACGGGCTATTGCCGATCCCGTCCAGCCCCATCAGCTCGGGGCTGCCATTTCCATTGGTGGCCTCCAGCTGATGGAGCTTGGGCGTGATCAGGAGGGGCTGCTGTTGCTTCAAACTACTACTGTTCGGGTTGGAGCTAGTGGAGCTATGCTGGGAATTGCTACTACTCTGCTGCAACTGCTGTTTGTGGAACTGTTTCTGCTGCTGTGTACTGATCGATGGCGATTTGACCAATGTGGGTATGTGGCATTGTATGGAGTCTTGCGATTTGAAGGTGCTCGATATGGATTTCAAATTTCCGCCGCGCGGCGATAGAATTTTGTTCGAATTGATCGATGTCGATGGCTGTGTGGCTGTCGTATTGGTGGCTGTGGTGTTCGTGTTGCTGGTTGTGTTGTTGTTCATTTTGTTGCTGTTGTGGTGGCGCGGTGTGGTATTGGTGGAAAACTGATATTGCTGATGATGATACCTGGAGCGACCGCGGCGGGGCAATGATTTCTGTTCGGACATTGGTGACAGATCGGAGGAGGTGCTGGACTGTGCTCCATGGTAGATGATGCCTGATGATGCGACAAATCGCAACATCGCAACAGCGGATCAACGGATCAATGGTCGCAATGGTCGCAGTGATCGCAGCGTAGCGCAGCGCAGACGGAGATGTTAGTGGGGAAGAAAAGAACAGAAAAACAAAGAGTGGGCTGATAGAGAGTTCTTTTTTTTGGCAGAGGGGGAACATCAAATATCGGCAAATAAAAACTTATCACTAACTTAGCACTAGGTATTACAAATTGGGTGGCTTAGTCTTATTTGGTTGGCCTGATCAAAGTAGTTGGTGTAGAGTTTTTGGTGCTGTGTCAGTTTGGCCTACTACAGATATGTTATCGATATATTGTGGTTTGGAAAGTGTTGTATTAGTCTAGAGTCTGCAAAAATAAAGCAACACAAAAAGAGAGTTCAGCGGGCAGAATACTCAAGGTCAAAGCCTAGGGACTGAGATCAAATTAATGGTGCAGTGAAAGCTTTTCTAAGATCACTTATTAAAAGTAGATGTTTATAATAGGAGTCGATATATGTATGTTGTTAAATTAATTGCCATGTTATTTATTTACTAAAAGTTTTATTTTTTATAATAATAATATTTAGACAAAGATTTTAAAAATGTATTTAGTGAATGTATTTTATCGTTTTTTAATAAAAAGTTTATTTAAAAACATAATGATTGCAAAAATGAAAAAAGTAGTTTAGCTCCTAATTTAAAAGACTTTGATTTTAAGCTTTTGTGTATAAAAATCCATAAGATTTAAAAATAATATGGAAAGGTGTCTAAAAGAATGCAACATATAGCTTACGAATATTTTTTATTCAGAAAAGTAAGTGCCTATTTTCATTGCATACTTTTAGGTATACCTTATTTTTAGATCTTTGTTAATTCTGTATCACTCTTCACAGGTTTTTAAAGCTTTCACCGCTAAAGGAAATTAAAGAAATTCATAAGTTTTGTTTGATGATCTGAAAGAAGGGCCTTGGACCTCCTTTCAAATACATCCCATAAATTACAGAGGTCCCCAAAACTCGGACTTACTGTGCTTGATCTTGCCCTCGTGCTGGTTGGAGGACTCAGTGCGGCTGGAGGTCAGCTGGTCCTGGTCCGACTCCGACTCCTCGCTCTCCGGCTCCGTCTTCCGCGAGTGGCGCCTCCGGTTCTTGGACTGCACATGGAACAGAGCGGGAAATTAGTCTGGATCTGCATCTGGCAGCGGGAATGTGGCAGCTAGCGACTACAAAAGCGCCTGGGGACGGAACGCTTCTCGAACAAAAGAAAGGGTAACTAAAGATTGGCAGGTGACATGTATCCGGGGGAGGTCAATCCCCACCCTTCGCATGGTTTACGGCATTGCAATTAAGTGAACTGAAGGGCAAACAAATACTCGAGCAGAGAACAACAGAAAAAAGCACGTAGTACACTTAGGAAAACACTAATTGTGTGGCGGAAACCACACAGATCAATTGAAGTAGAGAGTAGATGGAGAGAGAGCTAAATCAAAGAAATGAATAAACAAACGCACGATATTATGGAACGGTGAGGTCTGATAATAATTATGAATTGTCTTTAGTGGACGTTGGTGGTTGTGGTGGTGATGGGTGGTGGTGGTTGTTGGTGGGTTCAGTACCGCGGCTGGTGGTGGCGACGAGCAGCCCTCGGCCAGGGCCCGCTCGTGGTACATGAACGAGTGGAGCAGCGTGTTGGCCGGACCGCCGTGGTGCGGCTGCGACATGTTGCCCCCAGCCTCCGACAGCTGGAAGGTGGCGTACGGCGAGATGTCCTCGGAGGTTTCTGCGGAAAGGCAAAGTCCTCGGGCGGTGAGCGGAGCTGATCGAGTGCATAACACTGGCTGGCAGGGGGTATCACAGAAATCTCAAGGGGTTTCACGGCCCGCTATTGTCAAAACTGTCCAGGAATTGTTGGAAGTCCCCAGATACTTGGTCATTTAATTCCTCGAATCACTCATCGACTCTCAATTCTCTCTTGTTCATTAATTATATTTATGTTTTGAAAATGAATTGCTTTATTTTTTTGTTTTATCTAACCCTTCAACGACGGGCTATTGTCCAAACTGTCAAGAAATTGTTGAAAGTCCCGAGGATTTGAATGAATAGATTTAGCTTTCTTCGTAACTTTACGGTTCATATGTGGACTATTTTGTATTTTAAATTTACTAGTCAAAAACTCAAATATAAGTGAATTATCTTTTAGGCTGTAGGTCTTATTAAAATATAATATTTTTAATTTTTGATTATTTTAAAGTCTTTTGTTCAGCTATTTTTAAAAAATATTTCATTGCCTAAACAACTGCTGAAATATTTTAATTGTTGTTTTCAAAAAAGATTTATTTTACCTAGATCCTAATTAAAACACTGAACATTTCAATGACTTTGAAAATTTTATATAAACTACGATATGTATGCAGTTTATAAAATTACGTAATTACGCCCTAAGATGACTGAGACTTCTGCGACACCCCGGAAAGCAAACAACTTACCTGGAATCTTATCATTGTTCTGCATGGACACCTTGTGAATGGTGGCATAGTAGCGCTCCCGCTGAGCAGCTTCTGAATTAGCGCGGTTCTCCAGCGACTCCTTTTGAATATGGTTGGCTTGCTCTGCGAGCGGTTGTGCATTTTTTAGCACTGAGTCAATTACTGGATCACTGCATTTAATCAAAAAAGTATCGCTATACTCACTGTGTCTGTAGCACACGATGACCATGATGATGGTGCAGATCAATCCCGATACTGCCGCAACGCTTGGAATTAGTAGGTTGATATTCCCGAGGATTACGGTGGTGTGACCGCGATGGCCACGATGCATGATTTCCGGTGGTGGTGGATCTCCATCTTTGGTCAAAGTCACGAACGAGAAGTCCGCCTGCGAGATTCCAGCCACATTGTGCGCCTCCATGCGAAGTTGGTAGAGGGTTGAGGGTCGCAGATTATTAACCACAATGCGTCGCTGGGGCTTCAATGCATTGGATACTGCAAAGAGAAATTGGATATAAATAAATATAGTTATGTGACAGGTCTTAAATCTATTGATTATTTTATAAGAGATGTTAATACTCTGACTTGTAATACTAAACATTCTTGCAGAAACTTTTAAGGTAACATATTGTTCTATGAAAAAATTAAAATTTTGAGTTAAAACAAAATAAATGTAAAGGTTTTTTAAAAAGGTTTTTTTTTAAAAAGGCATAACAATTTTTTAACACTAGTGTCCTTACTGTTTTTTTAAATTTTTTTCATTTTACCTCTCTGGTTATAGGATATTGTAACTAAAATGGTAAAACTCACCCAGCACCCATTCCGCATCCGGATCTTCGGTGACCGCCCGGTATTGCAGCACGAAGTAGAGCAGGGGACACCCGTTGTCCGGCCAGGAGTGCAGTCGCACCAGGAGCGAGGTCGAGTTGGGGGCCAGCAGGGCGGTGGAGGCGGGATGGCCGGGTGACTGACCCTGAGTGCGCACGTGCAGCGTGGTGCTGGTGGGCGAGGTGCCCACCTTGTTCTGGGCACTCATGTGGATCTGGTACGTGCTGCCACAGACCAGGCCCTTGAGTTCATGACTCGAGGCATGTCGCGACAACTGCATTTCGTCCGTGTTTCCATTAGTCCGCCGATAGAAGAGTGTGTAACCGGTGATGGGGGCATTGCCCGTGAATCCACACTTCCAGTGCATCAGAATGCTGCTCGAGGTGGCACTGGTCACATACAGTGTGGGCGATGTGGGCGGCACTTGGACCAGGAGCGTGTGGGTCAGTCGATCGGTGCCAATGCCATTGTCCACCTGGCAGCTGTAGTTGCCTCCATCCGCCAGTTGCAGGCTGGAGATGATCAGGTCCCCGCTGTCCAGCATTTGCGAGTTGTGCAGACCCCCTTGGCGAAGAGCCACATCGCCCTTGAACCACTCCCTCTTGGGTTTTCCCACGGCGGTGCAGGGCAGGGTCACGGTGGATCTCCAGGGTCGGACCACAGGACCTCCGAAGGATATGATCCTCGCAGGCACCCGATTTGTGGTGATCTGTGAGGAGACCCGCGAACTCTTTCCCTCGCCCACTCGTGTGCTGGCCGTCACCCAAAACTGGTATTCCATATGCGGATGCAGGCCCTTGGCTTCGTAGTAAGCCTGCTGCGATGGAAGACTGCGTTTCTCATTGTTCAGCTCCTCGCGTCCGTTCACCACACGCGTGTACAGACTGTACTTGGTAATCACTCCGTTGGGCTCAGTGGGTGCCAACCACGAGATATACAATGACTGCGATGAGCTGGAAACCACCTTGATATCCGCCGGAGCCTCGGGCACATCCTCTTCACTGTGGCAAAACAATGGCTTCGACACTGCTCCGTCGCCCATTCGCGTGTGGGCCAACACCTGGATGCTATAATTCGTATACTTTCGCAGACCCGTCAGCACCATTGTGAGCGCTGTGGTCTTCCGGGACTCCACCTCGTCCTTGCTCGGCTGGATGTCGTCGATAATGGGCTCAAATATCAGCTTGTATCCCTGCAGCAGGCCATTAGTGTGGTAGATTGGCGGCGGTTGCCAGGACACCTGCAGCGATTGGGAGGATAGGGCGGCACACCGCACATCCTCCGGCGGGCGACTGGGAACTGCGAATAGGAAAATGTAATTAAATTTTTCAAGCCTTATCAATATCTACACACAAAAAATATTGATAATTTTGGGAGAACATTTACTTTTTTTTGCTTAATATCACAATTATATTTTAAGAACAATAGTTTCTATGGCAGTTTTATATAATTTCGTATGTAAATTGACTACCACCACATTTCTGAGAAGACCCAATAGTTTGTAAGTATTTAACCTACCATCTTCCATAGTCTGGGCGGCGGTGGGTTCCGAAAGCGGGCCTGGTCCCACCTGGTTGAAGGCCTGCACTACGACAGTGTATCGTGCGAATTTGGCCAGTCCGCTGAGCAGTAGCTCTCCATTGCCACCATCTCCGTCGCCGGAAATGGAGGTGAAGTTGTAGACCGTGTTGCCCGAACTGGACAGCTTGTAGCCCACATTGTAGCCCTGGATGTCGCCATGTCGGAGTTCGGGCAGCGGAGCCACCCAACTGATGAGCAGCTCGGTGGAGGACAATGGCCGGGCGGACAAACTCAGGGGAGGTCCTGCGGGTCGCTGAGGCTCCGTGCGCACGATCAGCTCCTGGCTGGGTGCACTCCGTCCGGCCGAGCCCTCGGCAATCACCCGGAAGGCGTAGCGCGTGGCCGGCTTCAGGTTCTCGATCAGGGCATTGAAATGTGGGGGATCCTTGACCTCGATCTGCTGCCACTGCTCCACGAACAAGGCTGGTGGGAGAGAACCTTTTTCAAGTGGACGCTATGTGAAATCTATAAGTAAAATGGGGCCCTATACGTACGATCTGCCTCGCGGAACTCCACCAGATACTTGGTCACATCGCCGGTGCCCAGGGACTTGGGCTGCCACTTGAGATTCACCGACCGACTGCTGATCATGGCCGCCTCCAGGACACTGGGCGGCAGAGGTGGCTCCTGGACCTGCAATTGGACCAGCTGCTGATCGTTTCCATACAGATTACTGGCCCGGCAGAAGTACGGTCCACTGTCGGTGGCGTCCACAGTGCGGATTTGCAACTCGGCGGACACTCCGTCCGGCGTGGCCTCCTGTTTCACCGAGATCCTGAAAGCGAATGCGACACCATTACTTTCGTGCTGCCACCCAGAAGTAGCGGCTAAAAGCACTCACTTGTAATTGGTTGATGGGTTCAGCGTGTTCTTGCCCGAGCGCATCCAAACAATGTTAATCGGCTTGTCCCCACTCACGGCGCACTGCAGCAGCGCCGTGTCGCCCTTTTTCACCATCACCGAGCGGGAAGTCGAAGAGAAGTACGGCGAGGCTGGAAAAAGGCAAGCATTTTGCCCATTTTAATTACGCCCCTGATTCCCTCGGGGCCACCTCAGCCTCAGTCTCAGCCTCAGCATTGCAATTAACCAAATTGCCAGAGCAGCTTCCCCATAACTTGCCGCTAAAATACTCACAGTTCACTTTCAGCTGGATGACCTTTCCGATGCCGGTGCCGATGCCATTGTTGGCCTGGCACAGATAGAAGCCCTCGCGGTCCTCCTTAACGTGCTGCAGGAGCAGGGACCCATTGCCTAGTAGTTTGGTGAAGGGACGCTCCCGAACCTCTTCGTATTCGCCCGATTTGCTGCCTACAAGGACACGTTAAAGAACACAGGAGAAGTGGGTTAAAATTGAAGGTCGAATTAATATCGAATGTGTAAAATATGCATTTTTATAAAATAATGTAAGATGCCTTTTTTCTATAGTTTTATGGAAAGGATGCAATCTTGGACCCCTTTATAAGTTTCAGTCTTATTTTTTCCACATTTTAGATAACTGTGTCTTACCTGTAGCCTTTTTCCATACTATACTCGGTGTGGGAACTCCCTGAGCCTGGCAATGCAGCATGATGTGGCGATTGCGCTCCACATTCGCGTCGACGGGCTCGACAATCCAGCGTGGCGGCACTACGGGGCGTATGGGTGACGGGAAGAGTTAGTTAGCATACTCGGAATATAACTGGGAACGCAGAACGAATGATTCAAATTATAACTGCTAAGACATACAGTAAGAGTAATGGTTCTTAGAGAGAGATAGAGATATATAGAGAGAGACAGAGACAGAGAGGAAAAGTGAAGATTTCTGGCAAAGTAAAAAACGGCATAAAAGAATTTTGCTGTTTACGATCTTAAGATTTTTCATTGTGCCTAGCACAATTGTAAAAACTGGTTGAATAGTGGTAGCAATATAGTAGGAACTGTTCAACTAATATACAAAAGTATAGTTTGCTTTGGGGTAGTTTGCTTCAAAATCAAATACAAAAAGAATTTCATATGCAACTCAGTCAAAAATTGAACAAAAATGAATGTTGATTTTTTTATGTTTTGTAGTTGTTTAAGGAAAATCGTTTAGGAATGACCGTGGGGAAAATAAATTGTTGGTGTGCAAGGATTTTATTTTTAATTCTCATTTTCTTTTGTTCAAATTGATCGCTTTTCTCTTTTGTGTGTTTTCTTTGATTCGCCCACGCTCTGTGCCTCGCTGTTCGTTGTTGGTTGTTCGAAAAAGTCGCAAAAAAGGCTTAATATGTTCTCGTATATTCGGCGCATAAATTAAATAACAAAGGCATGCCAGAAGCGAAATGGAAAATATATTTGCATAGAAATTATAGAATGCGCAACATAAATGTGAACGTAGTGTGAGTTTTATATTTGGACACGCAGCTAACGAAACACGAAAAAAGCGAAATAATAATATTGGATATCAATAAAAAAATCTCCCAACCCACCATCTCGCCCACTGGCGTTTTCAATAAATTATAAACTGTTTACTTGGCAGCTGCACTTAATTGCCAGCTTTTGTTTGTGCAGCAATAACGAAATAAAAATTATTAATTAAAAATTAAACCCGAACAAGGAGCAAATTAAAGAGCTCCAAATGAAATTAGCATCTGGCCCAGGGCAGAGTATTAATTAAAATGATTTCTGGTTATTATAATTTTTTTGTCATGGAATATTTTGCATGGTACAAAGCGGTTTGGGTTTTTGGGGGGTTTCGATGTCAGCATGTCTAATTCAAATAGGGAAAAAAATCTTTGCACACAACAACATCAGCGGCAGCCTGGGAAATGGAGCATTGGCAAAATAAATAAATTAAATTTTGAAAACTGTATACGTCCGAGCACTTTGCCCGGCAAATGAAAATAAATATAATTGCCCACCCCCGTGACCGGCTGGTTGGTTGAAATCGGGTGGAAAAAGCTTAACGGAGCAATCTGTGTGTGAAAGGAGGAAAAACCCAAAAACAAATTAAAACCAGAGCTTAAGAACCGAGGAAAACGGAACGAAACAAAACGAAATGGAGAGCAAGCAAATCATAAATAAATGGAAATTAAAATTCATTTGTCACAGCACTACGCGCATGCAGATGGCACAGAGCAAACGAAAAATTGCATTTCTACAATACTATATACGTACAGTCGGCATGCAGAAACAAAAAATTGCAGCTGGGCATAGTGCCGATGGCCACTTTCTAGAAAAAACATTCATTCTCAACTACATTAGCAAATACTGCGAAGCTTTAAGTTTCTTATCCATTTATTTTCGGTTGGTTTCTCCGTAATTTATTTTCTTTATTTCTGTGGTTTAATTCACTTTGCTCTGCAATAAGATTATTTTTAAGCGTTTTGTCACACGCACACACAGGCAATCAGGCACTCACACAAGCGAAAGGGGTTTATAGTACACCGAAAAAAATTCAAATATCTAAGCATAAATAAAATAAACATACTTTAGATGTTTTTTTTTTGATTTGAGAGCTTTAGATGTAATTTTTTTCGGTGTGGAAATATAGTAAGCGATTAGAGAGGCCAAAACCAAATTGAAGCATAAGCGTGAGCTTTACAGCATCTCCGAAGGATTTTGGGCGGATTCGTTGCTTTTTTTTTTTAATGCGAACTCATTCTTTTGCCGCGTTCGCCTTGTTTATTCGTTCGTTAATTAAGCACAGCACATTGAGCATAGTAGATGAAGTGGAGTTTTCGGAAGCTGCAAGTCAAAAATGAAGAGAGGAGCCAAGGGTAACAAAGGAGTTTCTGCATTTCGTCCTGCGGACCGGGCTGCGCAGCGCAGCGCGGTGGACGGCAACCAAAAAGAGTATATAGCGAGTAAGGTAAATGAATCTTAAAGCAGCTTATCTTTCCATGTTTATGCAAGATTATTTGTATAAATTATAAATTACAGCTAATCACGAATGCCGTGCGCCCTCCAAGCTTGCCAAAAAAATGAAAGTACTAGTAACCGCCAATTTAATATCCGGAATGCCCGGAGAGCGCACTCGATTTATGGATCTAAAACCCGACTTGTCGTGTAAGAAGCGGTTAAAATAATGTAAAGCAAATCAAAACAGATATTCATAAGCGTTATACTTAGTTTTTTTAGATTATATTTTGGTTACGAAGCGCATAAGAAGCAGTGCAGTTAAAACGTTTTACCTGGTGAGACGGTTGTCAAAAAAACCCACAGCGTGCCAAAGCGACTTAAGGGTGGCGGGGAACTCTTAATTGTAGATTAGTAGGGGTTTTTTTCGGGGGTTTTTAAGCGGTACGTATTTATGAGATGGGGTTTTATTTTTTATTTTGGGGGGAGTTTTCTTAGTGAGAGTCAAAAAATCAAAGCACCTTTTTGGGACTGGGCAACGTTCAGCTGCACCGGAGCTACCAGAGAGCTCCAAAAAAGTTTGGCTGGCCTAGTTTTCTTTGTTGTTAAAAATCAACCAAAAATATCATCAACAACTGAAAATACCATTAAGAAGCTGTTCTTGAATACATCAGCGGGAAAGCAAAAAGTTATTGAGGGGCAAGTGAAGTTCGCTTAGTTTATATGCGTGTGTTTTTTGGTAGTTTTGTATGTGTGTGTATATGTGTGAAAAGAAATAAAATAGCCATTGTTATATATATATATTTTTTTTTTAGCATGTTTATAGAATGATTTTTTTAAGGTCGTTCCAGAAACTTTATTATAGATTTTCTTTAAGTTTTATTTTGGACTCAAAAACAATTATTTGGCGCCTAAAAGTATGCATTACCATTTTCCCAAGTTACATTTTATTGCTTTGCTTATCTGGGATGCTTTTAAAATCTCTTTCAACAGAGTGCTAACTATAGTGGTCCATAAAAAATTGGTTGTACTTTGTTTGGTAGAGAAAGTAAAGTGTTTCATGATAATCACTAAAATTAGATTTAATTGTGTAAAAATTACTCAATTATCTATCGGATTTTGTGAGGAAAAATAGCATTGCATACCTTTGGTAAAGCTGCCAAATTGTTTAAAAGCCTTGAAAGAGCTCTTAAACTGTTGTACTTTTGGTTAAAATAGATAATGGCTGAGATATATTTCTGTATTTGTGTGTCTGGTGTGTATCTGTGTTGATGGGTACGCTAGTACGCTACCTTTGACCTGCAACAGGGCCGTATACTTGATCTCGGCCGCCGGATTCTTGGCCACGCACGTATACTCGCCGGAATGCGTGGCGGACAGCGACGGAATGCTCAGCAGCGAGCTGTACTGGTCTAGCATGGTGACATTGGCCCCCAAAAGGTCGGGCAGCGGGTCACCGTCCTTCAGCCAGATCAGCTTTAGCGGCGGATCGCCCCTGGAGACCCCGCAGACGGTCCGTGTCCGCATGCCCTCGGCCAGGCCCTCCTGGAAAGCGAACGGTTCTATGCTCGGCGGCACTGCAAGAGGAAAGATCAGGCGGAAAGGGTTAAGATTGGCACTGTTGAGTGACCGGAACCGGAACCGGAATCGGCAACCATTGAGCGGAGGACACCTGCGATTCCCACGATGCTCTAATTGCTGATTGTCAATTTGTACGCTCTGTAAACCTTCGCAGTTTTGTTAACACATTCGAATGAAAACGCTACTTAATGTTGTACAAACATTCCGAAAGTGGAAACATCATTTACAAAGGATAGCAAGGATGTATGTAGATATATATATATAATGGTATATAATGGATCTGCATTTCTGTGTTACATGGTACATGAATCAAAGTGCATACGAAAGTAAACTCAACTACTTGCAACTAAACGGGAATACGGATACTGGGATAACCGGACTCGGCAGTCACAGTCACTCCAGTCGTTATTTTTACCATTGACCAGCAGGGCCTGTGAGTTCTCCACCTCGGCGGCGGAGTTGCGCACCACACAGGAGTAGTTTCCGGTGTGGTCGCTGCCCAGGTTCTCGATGACCAGGATGCTGTTGTACTGGTCCACCTGCTTCACGGACATGTGCTGGGTGGGATCGATGGGCCGTCCATCCTTGCGCCAGTTGATGGTCAACGGCAGATCGCCCTTCACCACCGAGCAGGTGAGCGAGGCCCGATCGCCCATGTTCAGCTGCAGGATGTTCGTTTGGAAGGGACTGAGCTTCGGCGGCACTGCAAGGGATCAGCCAGGGATTGGTGAGTTAAAAGGGAGGCGAAAGGAGCAATCACTGCCTTGCCCGCAAAAGGGTCCGGCGATTTATGAAAATTTAATCAGCAACGGCGCTTCATTAGGGCGCGAATTCATTAACATTAACACTAATGAAAAAAGGGTACCGCTCTCCTTCAGCTTCCTTTTTTAATTTACCAACTTTTAAGCTTAGATTATTGCGCATATTTAATTACAGAAGAGGCAAAAAGTACACACACCGAAACGGCTCAGAGCCAAAACAAAACAAAATTAAGCGGAATCAAAAAAGGGGGGAAAAAACAAAATGCAAAAAGGTTGGCTAAAAGAAACAACTTGAAGCGCCATAGGAAACTACTTAGTTTGCTGTTAATAATTAAAATGCAATTTTCACTTCGTTTCGTAGCCCGCTGCTTGATGTCATCGTTCGGGGAAAAAGCTGTGAAAGAAACCAAGCTCGACCTTCTCTTGTTCATCTATTTTTTTTCTGAGTTTTTTTTTTCTGGGTTTTTCTTTGGGTTTTTAGTTTTCTTTGGTTTTTGTGTGTTTTGTTTTTTTTGTGTGTTTTTCCGGCAAAGGCCTCACATACTAACCTATGACCGTCACCTCGCCACTCCGCCGGGCACTGTGACCCTGTTTGTTCCGCGCCCAGCACGTATACACGCCGGAATCGGAGTTCTTCTGCACGGGGCTAATGGTCAACGAGCCGTCCGGCTGGACACGCTGCCTTATGTCATCCGGCAGCTCCCGGCCGCCCCGCTCCCAGTGGATCTCCTCGATGGGATACCCGGCCACCGGGCACTTCAGATTCAATGTCTCGCCGGAGACGGCGGTTACCTTCGGAATCAGTCGAATGTATGGAAGACCTGTCATTGGTGACGGCAAAAAGGGTTAGCAGGAAAAAACCCAGTTGGGGCAGGGATATAGAGCCATGGGGGAATGTAAATGCTTAACAGATTTGCGCGCACGTTGCTTTTTTAATAATGCAGTAAACAACTGCACACACAACAGCCCAACGGGCACCGCAAGAAGCACTTACACAAGGAGAAAAAATATCACCAAAATTAAATTACCTTACTAATGATCTTACCTAATTTAGAAACAATATTTTAGATACCTAGATAGCTGTGACTTAGGTGGTTTGGCTGTTCGCTGGTTTGTATTAAACTAATTTCCAAAAACAATATTTTGTTGCCTATTAAAAGGAATTCAAAGTTCTACTGTATGTGTGGATTCGTGGATCTAACCAAAACTCAAATTAAATGTAGATTTAAAACACTATGAATCTTATTTTTTTGATTTCTATTTCTTGCCGAATTGATAAACAAGAAACACCCCAGCAACCCTTTGAATATTTTTCTCTGTGCAGACAACAGGAAGCGGAGCACAATGTAATATGCATATCCTGGCTCGTTTCGTCCTGACTGCCGGTGCCCTCCGCCAAAACACTTTTCGGGAACGTGGAAGGAAATAATGCAGCAACTGTCGACTCTGGCAGCAGCTGAAGAAGGAGCAACTCGGCCAGATCCTGCGGCTCGGTGGCTGCTCCTCCGGTTGCCTTGTGGGCTGGGCTTTTTTCTGCGGAATATGCATAATTTTCGAGCATGTCATACGTGGTCTCTGTGTCCGTGTTCGTGTCCGTGTCCGTGCGAGGATGGGATGGGGATTTTTGTAATCACCGCCATTACCAAGTCGCGCAATCAGCGACATCGCCGAGCTTTAAACTAAATGATGATGGTGGAGGCGGGATTTTTGTTTTCTGTGCTCCGGCGGCAAACAAATGTTTGCAGGGTATGCGGAAATTGTCAAAGGTCTTGAAAGGAAGCCTCGGCTACGAGCAGTACTTCCGACACACTTTTTCTTTTTATTTGATTATCATACCAAATCACTTGGGTCTTTAACTTTATCCCTTATTTGATTTCAGTGATAAATGTCGAACAGGGACTTCACCCCCCCCCCATACTTTTCACTTGCAGAGCATCGTTTAGTCGAGAAAGGATTTTTTTTTGGTGAATTTACTTGACTTTATTTTTCAACTTTTTCACTGCAAAACTTTGTAAACATGGCGCAGTTTTTGCCGCCGCTGTCGTTTTGTGTTTGCACTCCTGCTCCCGCTCCTTGTTCGCTGGCAACGCCATTTTGTTTGCCTGGCGACACAAAAATATTTGATTTCTTGCAAAAACAAGGCAGATGGTGCGCGTGCTGCTGGGAACTGAGGGCTCCGAAATGGGTGGCTTTTCGGGTGGATTTTTCGACTGGCAAGGGTCTTTCGGTTGGGGGAAAAGCACTGCAGCCAGCCGAGAGCCATGTTCAACAAAAATGTGCGCCTCGAACAACACTTCACTGCTGCAGAGGCACAAAAGTAAACTTGTTTTGGGGTAGACGCGGGATGGGGGGTCTTGACGACCCAAAGGATCTGGCCAAACTGGGGGAACGCATGGAGAGAAGAACATTGCAAACGTGTTGTAAAACAAAATCAAGCAAAAGTAGGCAAATGCCAAGAGGAAAGAGGATCCAGCCTCGAGCATGGTGAACGTTTAAGTGCATATGTAAGTAGCTGCCCATATTTGTATCTGCACAGAGGGAAAACATTTAAATCAAATTGTAAATGCCCGTTTACGTTTCTTATTTCCACAAAACTCAGGAACCACACCTAAAACTACTGAAACTTGTAGTCGTAATTCTCAAAAGCCTGCTGTTTTAAATTCAAATAATAGTTCTTATAAAATCTGATATTTTCCTAATCGATTTTTTTTTAAGAGCTAAGCGTTTAATATAAAATAAGAATTTTAATGTTATTTAAGATTACTCTAATTCTTTCAATACTTATGCCTTTTAAATTTTTAAATTATTTGGTAAATAATTGTTTAGGATTTAAATTAAGTTAGTGATAAAATATACAAATATAAACTCTGTCAAAATTGCATAGAATTAATGCCCTTTAAATATGATGTTGCTAGGACAGACTACCTCAAGATACTTGCGTTTTTTTAGGTACCCAAAAATTTAAGAATTTCTTGAGTTTTAAACGAACTACATACTTAGCATTTAAGCCCCTAATTTTGGTGATATTTCTTTGTCTGAGTGTACGCTTTAAGTGTGAATACAACGTACCATAAATATTCAAGCGGGCCGCATGCTGCACTCGTCCCGCGCGATTTTCGGCGTTGCAGGCATATTCGCCGCCATCCTCGACCATGACGTGGCTTATGTTAACATGACTAATTACATCGCCATGCACGGTGATGTATTGTCCGATCATAAATCTGGAACGGCAAAAGCAAAAAAAATTAGGATGGTTTTGGATGAGAGCACAGAAAACACATTAATATTGGGTTGGTTGCGATTTGAGCGGGTGCACGCGGCGTATGCGCAATGTGCGGGTGTACTACAATTGTTTTCTTGTTTTCGAGCTGTCGCTGCATATTTAAACGAGACGCTCAAACACACACACACACCACTGCATTTGCACACTCATCAGCTAGGCACACTTCAAAAATGCAGCCTGACCCAAATCCCTTTTGGCGGTAGGCTTCATTTTGTTTTTTTTTTAGTCGCATTTCTGCGCTAGTTTTTCGTACTTTTTCGTATTTTTTCCGTTGCCATATTTAGTCGTAATGAAGGCTGTCAGTCGAGCTGTCGGAGCTTAGCATAGTTTCCATATTGCTGTCAATGTCATGTGCCACGCCCACGAATACTCCCACACACTCACACTCACTCTCACACACACACAACCGACTTCCACTTAATGCGGCCGTTATGCCTCAGCTCGAATAATGAGAGGAAAAAGGATTTCACGAAGCGCTCAAGCTGGCATTAAGTTCTGCGTTTGTTCCTTTGTTTGCCTCGCCTTCTACTATTGGCACAGTCGTTAATTACAGGCAACATTGTTACGCATACGCCATGTGGCACTCACACAATCGGCTTTTGCGGCATCTTATATGGCCGGGGATTGCGATCTAAGCCCAGCACTAGCACCACACCCGCCGGCTCATTAGTTTGTGGCCCCGGCTCGGTGGCAACTTTTCAATTGGCATTACGGCCGCAGTTGGGAAGTTGGAGTTGGAGTTGAAGTGAAAGGCAGAGCCGGAACAATAATGGCGGAGGCAAAGTAATTACAATTTTAATTAACTTTTGCAGCAGCACCGCACTGTGCGGCTGCTGAGGGAGGGAGGGAGGAAGGGGAATCACACGAAACGTAGAGCTTATGAATGCATTAGGCCCGGCCAGCAAACGCTGATTTCCCCAGAAAGAGTGGCCAAGCAAGTCAAGCCGAAAAATCTTTATGGAGTGTGCCCAGGCTTGTGAAAACAGCAACTGTAGTTAAATGAAAACGAAGCTGGCAAGCTGAAATGCAGAGTCGCATGGGGACGACACTCAGTCGTGGACTGCAGCACTTGAGCGCATTGAAACAATGGCGAGGACAAAATTGCAACAAAGTCGTACACATCCGCATTCGCAGCCCAATCCTCTGATGCCCCCACCCACACCCACATCCACATCCGCGTACACATCCGCATCCGCACAACGCCGGCTTAAACGGCATTGCTGAAGTTTAACTGTGTGTGTGTGTTTGGCAGTGTGTGGAGCGTAAAACGCTTTTGGCTGCAACAATATAAACCTAATAGCTTGGCGCGGCTTTTGTGTGCTGTTTTAGCTGATTGCAGAGTGAGTGCCCGGCTCTGTGGGTGGCTTAATTCCCAGTCAGCCAGCTAAAAAAGGGGAAACAATACCAAGAATTTCTGAAGGTGCCACTTGCAGTTTGGCCCTGTCTCAGGTGGCAACGGCGAAAAGTTTAGTGGCAAAAGTTTACGAAAAAATTATGAATTTCAATTTACGCGAATCGAGTTTGCACTTGGATCCCAATCGGTTTAGTTTGCAAGCACGGATTAAGCGCAAAAGGGTGAACCTTATTACCGATTAATAGAAAACTAAAAATACAACAACATTTTAACACAACATTTTTAATATATAATATTTGTAGGCTTACGAAATTATTAACAAAATCTTTAAATTAAATCATTGATAAAATTAAAAACAAATTGGTCGTCAAGGACAAAAGTTCGTGACTATATGTGCCTTAACTGATAGTTATTCCTGAATTAAAATTAATGATCACAGTAACCTAGGTATCCTGAAATATAAATTTTGTTAACTTCTTAATCATTGATAAAATTGGTCACAGTAAACTAGGCATCCTGAAATATAAATTTTCTCTGCGTATCCTTGGTATATCAAAAATTATTTTTTTTTAGTTTGCATAAGCCTTAATTCAAGTTGAATTTTTCTATTTTACAAAACCTGAAGATAATCAGTAAACCATATCGAACATATAAGGTAAGATAACTTACTGCCCACATCGGACACTTAAAAGAAGTTCCAAAATTTTAATTAAAAACCGGGTTCACTCAAATTCACATGCTTAAAAGGCGTTCCTCCTGCAGCTTAAGCGTTTTCTCATTTAGGCCAAAATTACACACATTTCCATAACGCCTGCAGTTGTAGACAAACGCATCACGCACACACGCCTCCGTCGATGTCTTAGCACAGCTCCACACGAAAAGCGGAGGAAAGCTGGGGGAAATGGCTGAGGAAACCCGGAGGAAGAAGATGTCGCCTCAACGGCCTGGGCCTCAGTTTCTGGCACCGCCGCAGACAAACTTTTGAAAATGGCGTAAAATGAGCGTTTGAGTGTTGCGTTACCTCGTGCGCGCAATCATTTAATTTCCGCCCCAAGGCGTCTTCTCCGCCCCCTCGACCCCCACGCCCATTTCCACCGACTTGCCTGTTTGTCCGCCTGTCTGTCTGGGACTTTGACTTGTGTGTGCATGTCTGTGTATTAAATAAATACATTTACCAAGTTGATATACCTTTAACCCGAATAATGTAAGCCACTTAAAACTCGGCAATAACAACGCAAACAGCAGGAGAAATTGTGCAGCATTGCGAAGGATGCTGCTGCCTGGCAAATTAGGTTGCCAGCGACGCCAGGATATTGCCTGCGGGCATTATGTGTCAAAATTGTGTTGCTCAGATAACTTTTAAATTAGAGCCATCGGCATCTGCATGTCCGCACAAGTTTTCCGAAAGCAAATTTTCACACCGACCACATAACACACAAATTTTTGTAATCAATTTTGCCTTGTGGTCAAGCCATCCTCCTGGACCCCATCCCGATGCCCATCTGCGAGTGGAATGGTCAAGGGAAAAGGTCCCAGGGCCCAGGAAAGGATGACCACTTGAGCGAAGCAAATTCATGGCGATGTCGTCGACAGCCTTAAGTTGCACTCCATGTGCTTTACATGTATTAAATCTAGTCATATTTTTTTATGAACTTTTAAATAGCTTAGAACTAATGGAGGTTGATGGTCATACAGTTCATATTACGTATATAGACTTAAGTCTAGCTAGCTAAAGGTAAAATATAGACGTTCTTAAGAACCATTACTATAAAGTCATAAAACCCATTTCTTTTAAGAGAGACTGTATTTTTATTTATAAGCAGAAAGCTATCCGAAACAAAAAAAAATCAGTGGGTTAAATTTGCTTGTATAAAAAAAGAAAAAAAAAATATAAATCTAAATTAGTTTAACAAAATTTCAAACATTTATAATCAACCAAACTAAGAGGTATCTTGGAGTCTAGTCTATTTTCCACAAAACCCTCCTGTCATTGAGTTGATTGGATCTTGTCTCCTGCTCTTGACATATTGCATAAGTTTTAATTAAAATATTGCACAGCTGGTCGACGCAGGACAACAATCAGGACACGGTTGCCTTAGTTTTTATTATTCCACGTTTTTTTTGCTGCATCACCAAGCAAGAGCCAAAGACAAAAAGCGATGGCAAATGAAAAGCGTTTGATTTTCATGATGGTGCTGGTATTTTTAATCAACAACAAAAGTCAACAGTGGGCGGGCGAAAACTTTGACTTGCAAATCATTACAGACGTAGCTCAAACAATTAGTGAAAGCTGCCGAACGAACTGCAAATGAAGCAGGAGCGCCGCAAAAAAGAGTTTGCCATCAGGTAAAGGAAGAGTAAAGTTCGATAAAAATCAAATGAATGACGAACTGACAATGTCGCAGACCGAATTGCCAATCAATCGATTCGCTGTTGCATTTTATTTGCCAGCACTACCCATCGTCAACCAGTCAACTATTTGCGAAGTCTGGATTCAATTGGATCCGATCGCTTCGATTTTATATTCGGCCAATGCAAATGTCAATGTCATTAAGGACCATGGCACGGCATGGCATTTAATTTTAGTTGGCAACGGGCCAGCTAAAAATGCAATTAAATGCGTAAGGCTACTGCCTACAGTTTGGCCGACCGACCGACCAACAGGGCTTAATTAACAAATAGAAAGGCAAAGTCGGAACCTTGGGCCAGACGCAGACACAGATGCAGAAGCCGAAGCAGGTTCAGATACAGATACAGATACATATACATAGACGGGGATGCGGATTCAGATACATTTACAGTCGCAGAAACAGGAGTGAATGAACGCTGGAGCAGACGAGGCCGACCCAAACCACCCACCTTTGTAGGCGCGGCAGTCGGCAGCCACTTTCTATATATGTATATGTTTTTCTATATATTCGTGGGGCAATGTTTTGAAAGGAAAGCGCAAAATACAAAAAAAAAAAATGGGGGAAAAAAGCAGAAAGTACACACACAAACACACAACGAGTGCAATAAATGCAACCGCAGCCGCAGTTGAGATAAATTTCTGCAGGGCACCCGCAGCGTTGCCATTGCCAAGCTCCTCACGAATCCCCAACCTCCACCCCATTCTCACCCACTTTCAGCCCCTTTCAACAAGTTCAATTACCTTCCGTTTGACGGCAGCGGAAATCCGTCCAGTGTCCATGAAATCTGCGGCGTAGGATTGCCGGCAGCGGAGCACTTGAGGCTCACAGCTGGTCCTGGCTGCAGGGTCTGCTCGATGAAGCTGTACAGCAAAACGGGCGGCGCATCTAGGGGGTACAATGTTGTGGCAAGAGGTCACATTAATAATTTACCCATAAGCTAGTCGCATTCACTAGGGGGCTTTTAGATTCTACAAAAATCAAGGACCACCAAAACGGGACCAAAGTGGTTTGTAAGTCAGAAGAAAAAAAAAATACTGTTGTTCTATTTATGGATAGATGAATTATAAAAAACATAGAAATTCTTACAAATATGAAATCTAGAAATATTTTCAAATAAAACAAGAAAGAAAGCAAACTTCGGCAAGCCGAAGTTCATATACCCTTGCAGCTATTGCATGAATTAAATACTTTTGAAAATATTTAAATTATGATTTACTTGAGTATATGCTGAAAAACATTGAAACTATGATGATTTGCAGCTCAATTATTAGATAGTTATTTTATATATTTTTATTATTTCTATGGGAGCTATAGGCTATAGACGTCCGATTTTGATAAAATTTAAAACATAATTCTGAAATATTTAACCATTACTATATGTCGAAGAACTAAACAAAAAATTAAAAAACAGCAAAGTTATAATTTTTTTTCATTTATTTTTCCGATTGTTCCTATGGGAGCTATATGCTATAGTCGTCCGATTTTGATGAAATTTAAAACATAATTCTGAAATATTTAACCATTACTATATGTCGAAGAACTAAACAAAAAATTAAAAAACAGCAAAGTTATAATTTTTTTTCATTTATTTTTCCGATTGTTCCTATGGGAGCTATATGCTATAGTCGACCGATTTTGATGAAATTTAAACCGTAAATCGGAAATATTTAACCATTACTATATGTCGAAGAACTAAACAAAAAATTAAAAAACAGCAAAGTTATAATTTTTTTTCATTTATTTTTCCAATTGTTCCTATGGGAGCTATATGCTATAGTCGTCCGATTTTGATGAAATTTAAAACATAATTCTGAAATATTTAACCATTACTATATGTCGAAGAACTAAACAAAAAATTAAAAAACAGCAAAGTTATAATTTTTTTTCATTTATTTTTCCGATTGTTCCTATGGGAGCTATATGCTATAGTCGTCCGATCCGGCTCGTTCCGACTTATATACTACCTGCAATAGAAAGACAACTTTTGGGAAAGTTTCATGCAGATAGCTTTAAAACTGAGAGACTAGTTTGCATATAAACGGACGGACAGACGGACAGACGGACAGACGGACGGACAGACGGACAGACGGACGGACAGACGGACATGGCTAGATCGACTCTACTAGTGATGCTGATCAAGAATATATATACTTTATAGGGTCGGAGATGTCTCCTTCACTGCGTTGCAAACTTCTGACTGAAATTATAATACCCTCTGCAAGGGTATAAACATATACAAAAGTATGGTTTCTGCTACCGAAATCTTACTAAAAAACATTGAAAACATATGAGTTAAATAAATTTAAAAATATATATTAGTTATTTGAAATCCTTTAAAGAAACGTTTGAATTAGTTTATTTTGAACTACATTTTAGAAACATAATATAACTATCTTTAGAGAACAAATAAAATAGTCAATTAAACAAAAAAAAAAGAATATTTAAAATAGGCTGACTTTTTATAGAATTGCCTATGCTTTTTAGCTAAAGATCCCTTAAGATATACCTCGATGATCATTAAAAAGACTATTTTTCAAAAATATAAATTAAATAAGGAGCTGAAAGTTTCGCTTTAACAATTTGAAGTATTTTAAGTATTTTATGAACTCACCTCCCAGCTGTAGTTCGGCGGTGGCCTGGAACGTATCGCCCTCGGGCCGTCGCACCACGCACTGGTACATCCCTCGGTTTTCCCGACTCACTCGCGGCACCACCAGCGTGTCCTCCACTCGTCCCGAGGAGGGCAACTGGCGCCCGTCCTTGTACCACAGGATGTTCTGCATGCCCACCGGGCTGCCGTTGCTGGTGACCAGGCAGCGGAACTCCGCGGTGCCGCCCATGTGAACGCTGAGGACATTCGGCGAGATTTCCACTTGGATGGGCGTGGCCACTGTCAGACGGAGTTCGGCACTAGCCTCGCCGCCCACATTGCCGGCCGTGCACTTGTAGACGCCGGAATCCTCGCCGGTCACGGCCTCGATGGCCAGGATGGGGCCGAGCAGCCGGACACGGGGACCACTCAGCACGGGCAGGGGTCCTGCTCCATTGTGGGTGTACCAACTAAGTGGAGAGGGAGGAGGTGAAAAGAGAAGATTTATGTGAATCAGACTTTTGTAAATCGACTCCATTAATCGCGACTTTCAATTGGAAAATTATAAAAAAAAAGAAAAGAGCTGGGAAAATGTGGTTATTGCAATCTATTCCATTATTCAATGCAGTCTCGCAGCATCCATTCTGCAGCCAAAATGTAATTTAGAATTCAAAACACATACCTACACTCAGACATTTTAGTTTTTCTGAATGTACTCTGTTTTCCTTAAGGCAAAAGTTATTTCTTATTCTAGTTTCTTATTATTTAATAGTTACTCCTATTTTAACAGAATACAATATTTACACCAAATTTTTAAATGTTTTTGTAGAAGTTTAGCCTGGATTTAAAAACCTCCGTTAATAACTGTTAAAACTATGGGAGTTTTTTTTAAAGTTATTGTTTTTATTTATTTGACTGCTTATCGCTTACAAATTGATAAAAAGACTTTGTCACCCGATAAATTCGATTACAGATCATGATTTTTAAGATAAAACGGAGGAATATTTGGAACACTATGAGCCAAACCTTGTAATTTTAAGTAAAACGTCTACTTTTGTTTCCAAGTGTATCACATTTATAATTAAAAGCTTTGCTTTGCAATTTGGGCATATCATTCTTGGGCGAGCTGACTTAAATTAATGGAGTTCAGCTTTTGGGCAACTGAAGCCCATTTGTCACGGACCATCTGGTTTCGCAGAAGCGAAATCTAGCACCCGATACCTGTCAAAGTTTTGAACATTATTGAAAGGGTAGTGTCATTGGAACTATCAGCCAACCAAGCGAAGTTCAAGGCCTGATAAACTACCTTTGGCAATCTTTATCCGTAATACCTCATCCCAAACTGTCTGTGCTGATGGAGCCTTTGTTTAATGTTGCATTAATCCTTTGCCTCGCTCATTATCTCGTAGGACCCTCGTCCCGCTCTGTTGTATTAATTATGAAATGGCTACAAGTTTTTTTCCCCTGGCACAGCTATCTATCTATATGTGAGGAGCCCCCCGAGCATACCGCTGCTTATAGATTCTTTTGTTTTCTGTCAGCAGTCTGACATTGTTGTTCATCCTCCGCCGCAAAAACCCCTCGGATCTGGCATTACTTGTCTGCTTATCAAAGCGTAATTATGGGCTCATATATGCTGTCAGTGTGTTCGATGTGGCTGCAGACTTTCTATCCGAACTGTATACACATCACTACGTAGACCATTGTTGCCGTGCAAGCGTATACGTTACGCTGCATAACGCATACGACCCGTCGGCTGTCGAGAAAGTTAACTAACGCTTTTAGTTCACATTTCAATTAAGGCAACACATTGCCAACTCTTTAGACACATTTTACAAAATAATGTGCACGTCAGCTCACAATTTACCCCTCATCATCAACATCACCCCCTTGGAACCCCAGAGCGGTTGTTTATTTATTTGGCTGGCAAACTAAATGCCCTGGCCGCACATTTTATAGATGTATGCGTTTCAATTAACTCACACCAGCAGAAGGCATAACTGACTTTGCACAGGGGAAAATAGTTTGAAATTATCCATTTTTTAAATGTCTTTTATAGCTTGTTGGACATAATAAATAAAAAATATATGCAATTTAAAAAAGAATAAATTTAAATGGTTTTTTAATGTGTATGCCTTTCGTTAAGAAAACATTTTTAAGAAAGTATGCTTGTATATGGTTCCAGTTTTTATAGTTAAAGATTTGAAAAGTTTAAGACTTTGTTCTCTAAGAGAACAAAAAATTCTTGGAACAATGATACCAGATCCTTTAGTTTTCCCAAGTGCACTAATAACTAATAGCACAGCGTTATGATGTTTGTGCGGCCAGGACCTGTCAACGTCAAAAGTTTCCCCAGAAATGTGTGCTAAAGCTCTCAGGGAGCGGGCTAGTGAGTGAGAAAGTGGGTGGAAGTGGGAGCGGGAGTGGATGCCATCGATTTGCGGCACCTATACACACCTGTATTCGGGCGAAGGACATCCCTGGGCGACGCACAGCAGCACAGCGCCCTCGTCCTGCGACACCTGCACATGAGCCGTGTGCTCCACAACGCTCGGCGAAATGATGCCGCGATGCGCTGCGGCGAGAGATGATAGAGATGATGGTGATATATGCGACATTGGTTGTCGTTTATGGTCTGGGTCTTTGGGCTTGGGTTTAGGGTTGGGGATTTTGGCCTGGGGTCTGGGTATACTCACAATTAATACGCAGTCGGGTGGGCGAACTGACGACCACCTGACGGGTGAGTCGGTGCATGCTGCGGCAGCGGAAGGACTGCGACTCGTCGCTCTCCTGCAGATTGTGGATGAGCAGCTCACCGGTGGGCAGCAAATGAAATTTGCCATCTGTGGGACCGCAAAACGAGAAAAAATGTAGATGAATACATTACTCTGGGAAAAACTGATGCCAGGACCCGATGATTCCACAAATCTGATATAAGTCATTTTTAAAGAGTTGGAAATAGGGAAAGGAAAAACTACCTTAAATTGATTGGAAACAGGATTTTTAACATTTCAAAATTTCCTCTTTAAGTAATTAAAAGGACTAAATCCTTAAAGGGAAACCATATACAACTTATGCTAAATTTGATCTTATTCTTCGAAAGCGAAAACCAGAACGAGCTAATCCCCTTTTTTCAAAAGAAATAGCAGTTAAAACCAAACAAAACCAAAGAATAAATTGACATTCCTGTTGACAAGATTAATAAAGATGGATGCCCTTATGCTGTCGCATGATTTTGATTTAAATCTTCCGCCAGACACTCTTGACCTTTCCGAATAGTTTACCCGCCACAAAAGCCGGTCAGAAAAAACGAATTTGTAGAAAAATAGAGAAAATGTTCTTTGTAACACAGACAACCAGGAGTGGCAGCTCATTGAGGAGTGGGTTAAGGCAGGCCAAAAGCTCGTCTCAAATTGCTAAAGGACAATGTTAATTATGCACCAAAGGACCTAGGGAGAGGGGTGCAGGTGCGGATGGAAATGGCAACTAAGCAGGCAAACATGTGAGGCAAATACTGCAAACAAACAATGCACTTTGTTGGCTTTGGCATAGGGACAAGGATGCAGAGTTGAGCTCCGCTTCGCTTCGCTTCCTTTTCGTTTCGCTTTCTGGCCGAAGGACGAAAGGACGAAAGGATAAGAGAGAGCCCCGGGTGGGTTACTTACCGCCTTGCAACGAGGGATAGATGTAGATAGCGGGTTCATGAACCCACGAGACCACTCGTACCAATTCCTTGACGAACGTGGGCACCACGCAGCGCAGAATGGCGGTGCAGCCCCGGGACGCAGATAGCACCTCCACATCCACTTTGTAGGCCTGGGCGACGACTGCAGAGATAAGTATATATTTTAATATGCCGTTCCGTCTCTGCCTTCGAACCCCTTCCAGGCTGTAGCCACTCACCTGCCCTCACTTGCACGTCCCGCGAGACAATGCGACCCACCGAATTGCTGGCGATGCAGCGGTAGATCGTGTTGTGCACATCCTGGTGGTAGGCGGCTGCCGCGAATGGCATCAGGACGAGAGTTCCGTTCCGCAGCACCCGCCGCACGCCGTGGATCTCGGTCACCGCCGATCCGTCCGCGTGCACCCAATCGACCGTCGGCTGCGGACTTCCGGACGCCGAGCAGTCCAGCCAGCCGCCCGAGGAGTTAGAGAACTCCACCCGCCCCGGCGGCTCCATCACAAATCCTGGTCCGCGCAGGTGTGCTTCGAACGGTTCACTGCAGGTGGTATCTGCAATGTGTACAAACAATTTTAATTGATAAGGTTTTAATAAAAAATAGATCATTTACATCAAAGGAGTGTTTATGATTAATATTTGTTTTTCCCGTATTTGAATAGTTGGTATTCTTAGACTTTCAAGTCTTTAGGGAGGCAGAACAAAATTTTTACGTCTTAATATTTTAACTAAGACCACAATACACTAGCTAGCTTATAAAACCGTCAGAAAAAACACTCCTTAATCAGTTTTTTTTTACCAATAAGGACTTACTAACATATGTAAGAGTAATTTTATTGACTATATTAATTAAGAAATATAACTTCTTGCACTTTTCTTCAAAATCGACTTATACTATTGTTTTTATTATTTTAAAAGCATTAATATACATTTTTCGGGAAATTGCTCGAACAAAATCCTGATTATTTTTAGGCGGCATATTTATTATTTTAGTATTGGTATCTGAATAGTCGGGACGCTCGGCTATAACGTTTATTCTTGTTTTTTTTTTAAATTATTTCTGAAAAGAACAACATTTTTTTATCTTTAGATATATTTATTTTATTTATCCACTATGTCCGTAACATGGGCTAATATATAAAAAACCTTTATGCCTTTAAGGTGACACAAGAAAGCTATATACCTTTAAGGTGTGGGTCCTATTTTAATTTGATTTTTAGAAAGCAAAAAAAAAATGCAGATCAGTGTTGCTGTTGAAGATTATCAAGCCTTTCAATTTAGTGATAAACTTGTTAAACGTAAATGCATAAAAAATGAACCCTGCAATGGCTGTTGAGTTTATGCATTTCGAGTTTAAAATTTTTATTGGTCCATACATATTTTACAAACCAAATATAAATGCATGAAAATGCTCCTCATTGTATATCAAATTTTGTGAGCTGCCATAAACAAAAGCAATAATCCCTGAGAGATATCAAAAATTCATAAAGGGCCGCTGGCCTTCTTGGGTGCGCAAATCCCTTGATACCTTTTGGCACTTTAATAAGCATTTACATTTTGTTATACGGCCCAGCCATTGTCGCATTCGAAACCCGTTTTCGCGAACAAACAGATTTAGCCTTATCCCAAATTAGAACAACAGTTTCGTCTTTAGCTCTGTCCAAGTTCCCTATGGCCCCCAGACCCAAATACATACTATAGATGCGACGAGTGCCAGGGGTATATATCTATATGTATATATTTCTCCAAATTGACATTTCGCTTCATATTCCACATGAATGCGCCTCGGCTTTCTGTCTGCCACCGGAGCGGGCATCTTTCCCTGCGGCGCTGTGCAAATCCCTGCAACTCGTTCAATCTCTAGGATTCGTCCTGCCCAGGACTCAGGAATCCCCTGATTCCCCCTAGATCCCGGCCCTACAAGTCATTGTGTCTGCAATTAGAGTTGTTTTTTGTTGGTTTTGTTTTTTCCCCTTTTTTCCCATTTGTTGTTTTTTTTTTGCCTTTTTCTGTTTTGTTCTTTTTGCTTTTGTACGCTTTTTGTTGTGCCTGGCCAGGCGCTTTTTGTTTTATGCTCGACAGCATGGATTTTTATGTAACTGCTTTCTGGTTTCGACTCCGTCTGTCTCATCGCCTCGTTCTCCGAGATGCTTCCATTTCGCTTTTCCCCGCTGATTTCATGGCCTCCAGCGGCTCAAGTCTCACGGAAAAAAATTCACATATTCGGTATCAAAAATATCAATTAAAGTTTCTAATTTGATCACAACTGTTAGTAAATGCGAATTAAATTTCACATTTAAATTTTTTGAGATTTAAATAAGTATATTTATCTTTGGAATTGTAAAATTTGATTTTATATTTGTGTCCCAATAAAATAAATAAATCTTTACCAGAAACTACCAAAAACGATGATTGAGAATAGATGCTTTTAAAGTATCTAAATACAAAATGTTTTTTATATTTCGAAACCTAATACAAAATGTATATTAAGTACAGGATAAAACATAACGAGCACTGGTCCTTTTAAATTAAATAAACTAAAACTTAATTTTTTACAATAAATTACCAAAATATTTTATATGCTTGAAGAAGATCAGTATAAAATTTTGTATGCCAGAGTTATTTTCCTTTGTGTAAATATAGCTCCTGGTCCAGGACTCTGATAAAGACGAAGCCTCTGCCAGGCCATAAAATTATTGCAAGTATGTCTTGAGTATGCTTGCCACTCGTTTCTCATTTTTTCCGCTTTTGGGTAGAAAGGGTATGTTTTACGAGCCTATGCTTGTGCCTTGGAGCAGGATCCCATGTGTGTACATATGTATATGCGGTTGGGCGCATGTGAGTCGGCCTGTGTATACATCCACTTGTAGGGGTTTTATTCTTTCCTGCGAAAACAAAAAGTCCACCCTCTTTGGGTTCCTGTGCGTTTGTTCTCCCTGAACGTCCTGCATTTATGCATGTGCGGATGAGCTTTGTTCCGACTCGGACTCTTTCTTTGTTGCCTACTCGACTTGCCTTTCGGCCGTTATCAAAAGGGTCCAATGACAAATTCAAAAATCAAGCAAACTACTAAATTGGACTGAGAGTTACAGAACATGAAAAATTAAATTCATAAAAAATAAAATCAAAATCTATTTTAAATTAAGATTTTCAATTTGGAACTATTGTTGGAGAAATTCAAATGCTATTGAATTATAAAATTGTATTATATTTATCTATGTTTTTCGATTCTTGATTTTTCTTTCATGAACCGAATAAAACATATTTGAAAACACTTTAATATATCTTAAGTCATTTAATGATGTGTCTTAAGGTAATAATATTTGTCAGAACTATTTTGTTGTGATATGCTAAAAAGCAACAGCATACAACATCATTCCCTGATTATATGCAAAATGTATAATGACCGGAAGACCCAGTCATCAATTGTAGATGCAAATGAAATACATTTGTGGCAATCTGCCAATGTTTTTACCTGCTTATTTACTTAGCAAAAAATAATTCCATCACCTCTACGTCGATACAATTGAGTGTTCCCCAATCAATTCGGACAGCATTCTTTGGCCAATGCAAAAGTGCATTTGGACCGTCTACATTTGCCACAAATTTATTTTCCAAATTGTTTTCCCAGCTCGGTTTGCTGTAATACCTGCAGCAGTCATGGAACTCTGCGTCTACGTCTGCATGTGCAACTGCCCCCGGCTGCGGCCCCGCCCCCTTTACACCCGCCTTCTTTGGCTCGCACTTCCGCTCGTTTTGTGTCGTACATTTCACTCCTTTCACTCCGAATGTGTTTCCCATCCACTTGTGCGAGTCTTGAGGGGTTACTTTGCCAAGCTCCTCAGACATTATTTTCTGTGTGTGTGTTCTTTATTTCTTTTTTTTTTTGCCTGCTCTTCGAAATTTTTTTCTTTTTTCTGGTGCTGTTTGGATTATGCCCTTTTGGCACTTTTCGAAATTATTTCGTTGCCTCCAAGCGGGCGGGTGTGATGCATGTTTTGTGGCTGCAGTGTGTCTACATTCGGCTGGCAATGCAGTGGTAATATTTCTAATGGCCCACGAGCCAGGGAACAGGCCAAGTCACCCATTAAAGCCAAACGACAACAAAAAAAAATGTAGTAGACTTTAAGACCACAGAAGTATTCCAGGCCACTGCCGGAAATGAGGGGACGAACCTTGTAAGCAATCAGCTCGAAAAATACAGGAAATTCAATTTTTATGCGCAAAAACGAGCGGCAGGAAGGCGTGACCCAAACACCCAAAGATATCCACTCAATATTGCTTGGCCAAAAAAAAAATAAAAGGAAAACTTGAAAGAAGTTAAAACGTTTACAGACCAACGCGCAGCCCAACAAAAACAGCCCCGGACCGAATAATAATTGTAAATAACTTGATTTTGTTGCTGCTCCGGCCAAGGGAGTTCTAGTAAGATGTGCTCCAGTTGGCTCAAAGTGCACACAGGAATCGGGCGGAAAGAGGGCCAAGACGAGTCCAATAAGACGCTGAAAATCTTTTGTTAGCCGGTTTTGGTTTGCAAAATAAGAGCAGAAAAATAAAATGGTATACATTGAAGAAACCGGGGTTTGGGGATCTAAGCCATTTATGTAGAAGTTAACAAAGTTCGCAATTATATATTTTTTTAATATTAATGTTGGAAATTCATTTCCCAAAAATAAAGTAAATATTATTATCAAAATACAACCGATCTCGAATATATATATTTATATTTTGCTGTTATATCACATTAATTTGATGTAGGATATGCATATAGTACATCTTAGTTATAGAAAAAATATAAACCTAGTCCAATATATTTGGTAATCAAAATATTTTATTTTTGACTGGGCATAGTTTGGAAAAATTTTTGTAAAACACATCCATTTCTCGACATCCATGCTAAATTATAAAATATTTTATAATCTTAAGCCTTTTATTTTAATTTTTTGTTTACTATTTTTTTTTATTTTCACTAGTTTTCTTAAAGAACAATAGAATCTCATATTTTTAAAATGTAAGTCCCAAAGTAAAATAACTTTTTGCAAGAGATTTTATGTAAATGTACAATCTGAAAATTGAACTAATCTGATATTGCAACACTTTAAAGCTTGAAAGCACAAATTCAACAAACTTTTAGTGCAGTAGATCAAATCATTAATAACGCCAGCCACAGAAACTAGGGTTTCTCAGCCATCCGGCTTTACGAAGTTAGATTGCCATCTGGTGAACATTTAATTTAAACTTTATCCCTTGCACTTCATTAATCCTACAACAAATTAAAGCGTTTGTCATAAACGGTTAAAAACATAATCAATCATAGTGTGCTGGAAACTTTTCCAGTTGGCCATAATTTTTCATAATTTTGCCATCACAATCCCCAATCTTTTTCCCAGCTCTCCTCTAATCGGATTTGTGGCGCTGTTGTTGTTGTCGGTGCTGCTGATTTTATATAACGTATTATATTTTATGATTATCTGCATGGAAATGGAATAACAACACCGAAAAATGTGAGCCATCTCTCACAACCCCAGAGCAAAAAGTGTGTGCGCTTAGACATTGAGCAACAATTTCATTTGCATATTTTTCATTTGCTCCCAGCTTCGAGTTTCGGCGAGGGTGCGAATGTATATGTTTGTGGGTGAGTATGGAACATGAAATATCTGTGCGGCATTTTGATAATTTTTTCTCTTTTTTTTGTTGGTATGGCGAATAGACATGTAAGCCAGTCCCTATCGAATGCCAAAGCTAGGCAAGGAAAATTGGAAAATATCAAATTTCCAAAAGAGGTTTTCCACCCGCACATACAGCTCCACGGATACGAAAGGGTCGGAGGGTCGATCGAGTGCTCTGCTCCTGACACATTTCATTAGGCTGTCCCGCACACACTTTCATAAATACACAGAAAAAAATTGTTTAAGAAAAAGTCTTGATTCTAGAGTCATTCGTTCATAATCAAAATATTGAGTCTGAAACGTAACAGAAGAAGATTTAAATAATTGAGAAAGGATAAGTATGTGATCGTCCGGATAGATGATAAAATAAAATTATAATAATAATTTCTAAAGAAAATCCGGCTTCATTTATTTGCACAAATATCTATTGTACAACATTATTACTTAGGAAACTTTCCAAATTTATATATATATTTTTTTTAAATGCTTTTAAAAGTGTTTTTCTATTTCTCTTAAAGCTCTAATTTTTTATTCAAAACGTTTTATGATTCGGAAACTTTTTATGATAAAAATGTTGGCTGTTAAAATGTTTTTGTCTCTGTGTACACACATATAACGATGAGATGGGGAAGTCGTTTTGTGTAACATAAATTGACGCCTGGTTTTTATCATAAGGCAATTTCATATTATGTAGGGGCATTTCGGCTTTAGTTTTGCCGGCAATTTTATGGTCTCTGTTCTTGGCTGCTCCATAAAGCGACCAAGTCATTTGCACTTAGTTCTGGGCGAGAGACACTCAAATATATCATAAATTATGGCACCTCCTCATACGTATGAATCACCATAAATTCAGGTCTCTATGCGGCACTGAAGATTCCGCTTTGAATGATAATAAAACGAGTAATTGCCCAGGCCAAGGATAATTCTTTGCCAGCAACGCTTTTTTCCTTCTTCTTTTCTGCCTAAGCCGGCAAGAATATTCCGCAAAAGCCCCAAATCCTTTTGTTTTACTCGCAAGTCTTAATAATAAGTTCCGTTTCGGAGGCGTAAACCGAGATCCGAGATTCGAGAAGGGAAAAAAAACACGCCGACAGCTGTTGGGTCTTATGGCAACAAAATCACACGCACAGCAGCAGCAGCAGTAGCCGGTGGAAAAACAAAAAGCACTAAGCATACTTTGCGGCGCGTGCCGAGCGACTTGGGAAAAACCAAGAAAAGAGGCGCCTAAACTGCCGGCAGCCCGGCTTAAGAGTTTTCCCGGGGAAAAGTTGCAATGGGAATGGGAAATGGTTGATGGTTGGCACCTACCGAGATGGAGCAGCAGGAAAATCACAAAAAAGCGGCTACTAATCCACATGTTTTCCGGCTTCTGTTTTGATTCTGATTTGAATTTGAATTTGAATTTGTTGGATTTGATTTTGTTGTTTTGAGCTGAGCTTTCTTTTTTCGGGAATTTCCGTGGGCAGTGACTTGTACAATTTTGATTTTGGCTTTCACTTTTGAGCGGTTTTACATTTCAGACACTCTAGACTCTTCTCCTCTCATTCTTTGGCACATTTGTATAATCTTTTTGATTTTGTTTTCACTTCGGTGATTGGGTGATTTGATGACGTGGTGTTTTGTTGTTGTGTTTTGTTATGTTTTGAGGGACTGCATGGCCCGGAGCCGGCACACTACACTCCTAAGCGAAAAAAACACTCCTGGCCAGGACACAACCGACTGCCAGAAAGGACTCGACTTGACTGCGCCGCCACACGAATTCTCGGCCAAGTTGGGAGCTCTTACTAGAATTTTTAAAATTTGAACCGATAGGGACACTTTGCGGCTCTCTTCCGGACTCTCTTCGGCGGAAATTCACCACACGCGCGCTCACTCACAATCGCACTCAGTCCCGATGCATTTTCAATCCAACTTCCGTCGTCCGCCAGAGCCGTGCGTATCCTTCGAGCCTCGAACAGCAACTGCCGGATGCGGTGGCCAGTGGCTCCATCTCCGCTTCATTTCAGTGGTGCAGTTGGCAGCCCCGCCAGCCTCGTGCTCTCCACGCATGCGCACCACCATTTGTTGTCTGTGGTTAGGCACGACGTTTTTCGAGCGGGTTCGAAAACAGCTGTGTTTACACTGGACCAGTTGGGTGGTTGGGTCGAAGTGGAAAAATGTTATAAAAGTGGGTGGCGGAGGGTGGCAGTGGGTGGCAGTGGGCGGCAGTGGCCTTTCCAGCCACATGCGTGAGTTCCTAGCCCAATGTTTCAATTATTCGGCCAGCTCCATCTTCGTTGGCATAGATTAGGCATCATGAACTCTGTGACGTTGATGGCTTTTTCGTACTTGGGAATAGGTTAACAATCTCATTTACTTTCAATTTATAAGACATCAGATAAATTTGCATTTAATTAATAAAGCAATTGGGTATCTTCGCACTGATTCCCAGCCAATATTGCATAATTCACTTGGCATTATGCAAAGCAATTTCACACTTAAGACCGTTCCTGCCGCCGCATAAATGTTGTATATTTTTTTGGCCATTTCTGCTAATGAGCATCAGGGGAAATTATGGCCAACAAGGCGGGTAAAAAGGAGAGAAAACAACATCGCATTCAGGCAGCTGCCAAGACTCATAATATTTAGTCTAAAAACGTGCGTTTTAAAAGCTTTAACACTCAGAGAAAACCTTCATCGAAAATAATGTTCAGGAAGATATTAAGGATAACTACTTGATAATAAAAAAAAAAAACATTTTATAGAGAAGAATCCTTAAATCATATGGATATAAAAGGTATTGAACATTATATAAGTATTTAAATATCATTAAAACTTTAAGGGTTTGGGAATTTCTTTTTTTCTTATTTAGCTTTTCTCAGAGACTTCTTTTACATACAAATATATCAAGGATACCTAAAAAGATAAATATAGTTTTAAGATGAAGTGAAAGCCAGCCAATGCAAAACATAAAAATATTATTATTATTATTAATTTCTCAAACCATATTTAAGTCCCAGTGCACTGATTTTTTTGTGGACATTTGGGGCTGCCCAATTTCTTGTTTTTAGGACGCGTGAATGCGTAAAAAGAGGAGAGCAGAATGCGGATGGTTTGGTTTTGGCCCACATAAGGCGTGCCAAGGACAGTGGTCGCCGCAGCCGCAGCCGCCGCACAGCCACAATAAAGGCAACAACAATAAAACATAAGCCAAAAACGTGTTTGCCTGCCAAATTTATTTCGTACCCGGTAGCATTTCCCACAGCAACAGCGATAGGACACCAAACACCAGCCAACAAACGACAAATAACAAACGACAAGCAACAGTAGCCATATTCGAGTCCTCTATGTCCTGCATTTGGGAGTGTGTGTGTGTGTGTGCGAGTGATTGTGACTTGCATTTGTGAGCGTGGCGGTGTCCGTGTTGGTAATGGTATTGGTAGAGGCAAAGGCACTGGCAATGGTACTGGTGCTGGTTCTGGTGTCGCTGCTAATGACAACGGGACCGCGTTGCGCATCAACGAACGACACCAAAAAGTCATTGACTCATTGAGTTTAGTCCCAGTGTGTGCTTGTGCATGTGTATGTTAGCAAAATTTGCAGGAAGACACTTTTTATACCCTCGCAAAGGATTTTATAACGAAGCTTACGAGTTCGTGCCAATAAATCACTAATGCGTATTTACATCAAAAAATATATTAATTTAAATTATTATTATCGAAAATATATTCATAACATCTTTACTTTATTTTACTTAAGCATTTCGGCTTATAAATTCAAAATAGGTAGAAAATCTCTTTCTTTCGTGACTAAATTTAATAATCTTTCTTTTTATCTAGGGTATATTAAACTTTGATATTTGGGCCCCTCCTTTTTCTGATTCCCTTGGCCACCACACTCTTTGGCTCAAGCAGTGTGAGCTTGTTTGTTTGTTGGTTGCCTGGTTGGATGGCTGACAAACAGACAAACTGAAAAACTGGCAAACTGACTGACTGCCAATGCGTGTCAGCTCACGTTGGCAGCGTTAACAGGAGTAAATGCAGTCACCGGGCAGCAAAAACAACACCGGCGGCGACCAGGGAAGCGTCAAGCGTTATGGCCACTGTTTTCACTCTGGGCCACTCGCCCCACTCTGTCATCATTAGCCGTGGCCAGGTGGGGTTGGTGGACTGCTATGTGGGTAAAATCGTGAATTGGTAGGCAGACCAGCTGCCTTGGCACTTTTGGCCACTTTCTGTCGATGCATAGTGCCAAAAAAGGGGCAAACTCCCCAGCGGTGTCGTAAATTTCAGTTGGAAAAGTAAGTTTCGAGACTCCTGCTTTCAAATTCTATTCAATTCAGTTCAGTTGGTCATTCGTTTCTTGGCTCACAATGCAGGCCAGCATTGTTCGGATGCATTCAAAGGTTTGGTTCATATCCGATGCTGGCCACTGGCCACCGTTGGCTGTCAAGCCAATTCTATAAATCTACATAACAATTATGATGCTGGTAAGTATTTAAAACAAAAACAAGAATGGGGGTGCACGGCAAATAAGTGGTGACTAGTAGAAAATTCTAGATAAAAGAACGAAGATTTCCTAAAACTATTTTATTTTAAATTTATTCATAACTAACTACACGTTTAAGCATGTATTTTAAAATACAAATACAAATTAAAAGAAATAAGACTTAGTGCCCCATCTTCTGGATTATTCTCTACATTTCCAGCGCTTTTAACGGTGCATATGCAAAACTATAGATTTGGCTGTGGCTATGGGCTGTGATACGACTATGGGCTATTAACTATGCTGGCTGGCCATGTCCTCCGACAATTTCTAACAATGCGTTGGCAGCTGGGCAAAAAGGCGGACTTATCTGCAGTGCGCGATGTTGTTGTTGCTGCTGCTGCTGCTGCTATTGCAGTTGTTTAACGTGGCATTTATGCGCCTGTTTGCTCAACGTTTTGTATGTAGGTCAACATTTGCACGCTCTATGACTGACGTCAACATGGACCGGGAATGTTGTCCAGGCCGCCCAACCCCAACCCACCCCATCCCACCCCACCCATTATCTCGCCCCCTCCTTAGTCCTCTTGTCCGTTTCCGTTTTCCGTGTTTATGTTGTTGTTGCCACACCCCAGCCGCCCCCTTGTCCCGTGATTACTGTTGTTGTTATGACAAACACCCACGAAGCCTATGTAAAAAGTGGCAGTAGTACAAGCTGCAGCAGCAGCAGCAGCAGCTGACCATACCAGCATATGAATTGTGTGTGGTGCGTTTTATATAAGAGCGATATATAGAGTATATAGGTAGAATCATGAATTTATATGCGGCCGTGGCATCACTATTGATTTTCATTTTTGCGCGTTTTACAACACGCTTTGTTGCATTTTATTTGCCCTGTCATTGACAGCAGTCGCCACATGGTGAGTGCTTTTTTCTGCCTTTGCTGACCCATCCTCCATTGCATAGCATAGCATACTTTTTTGGGCGTTGTCCATTGCATTTTTAATTGGTATACAGCTGGTCGTGCGCGAACTCATGTGAGTTGAAATGTGACGGCGATGACGGTGATGACGACGACGGCAGCGACTCTTGGCTGCACTTGAAAAACGCAATCGTCAACGCATTTTACATGTTTTTCAATTTCAACTGCAGCCTTTCCCTTATACCACATACATATATATCTTTTTTGTTGCCGCAATTCCTTTGACAACATGGCAAACGTCATTCAGCATAATTGCAGCCTTGAGGCCTGCGGCAGGCATATTTTCATTTTGTTTTTATTTTTTCTCCACGCCGCACCGTTGATTGTTTATTGATTTTTGCCTGGCACTTGCATTTAGCATTTTTTAATGACTTTTTTTCGTCTCAACCATGTTGTTACTTCATTAAGCGAGATGTTTGAAGATGCTTTTGTAAGAATGTAGCATTTTTTTTTCTGTTCGAAAATTTTCTTCAAGTGGTTGTGAGTACTTGAGCAAAGCAGTGGGAGGGGAGATATTATGGATGGGATAAGGATAGGGAGTGATTTCAATCAACTGATGATAGAAGGAGAGTCGGAGGGAGCCTGGCACAAAGGGTATCACATCACATACATCATTACAATATTTACCCACACTTAACCCTTCGCTGGCGAAGAAGAGAGACAAAGGCAGGCAGGCTGGGAAGTCAGGAAGCGCATTTGCATGTAACACGTGAGCTTACAAAAGCCAAGTGACATTGTTTGGGCCACGCAGAGGGTCGTGGCACATAAATTTAAGTGAGAGTGTAAGTGTGTGGCAAGAGAGGGTTGATGTTTGACACACACACACACGCACAGGTATGGGAGGTATATACAATACAGAGTGTCACCCTAGAACTCCTCAACTGCACCCTCCCCGTGTTGACAGTCAGCAAATGGGTTGAGCCAGGAGATTGATATGACAAGCTACGAAAACGACGATTGGAATGGAAATGAGAATAAGAATGGGCAGAGGGGCTCCTGAATGACGATGACGATGACGAAGCCTGCGCACGCCTCAGCGCACAAACAAATTATGCAAAATGCATTTGCAGCCCAAGTCGAAGATGTCATTGTGTGTGCCAAACGTAGCACGTTAAATAATTAAAAGTTGTCGCAACAATCACTCAATATCCCAGCTTGTTGCAACTTCGAAAGCAACAGATGAGGGCAGGCAAACAAATCCAAATCGAAGCATTAAATACTCAAAGTTCTGTCCTGGTTGGTGATACTAAGCACAGAAAGTAAAGAATTAAAAGTTTTAGTTGAAGCGTTAAAAAACTTTGTTTTAAAAATATAGGTCAGTAAGTTAGTTTCATTTACTTTTGATGTTATTAATAATTGTTTAAAGAAAGTCAAAACTATAAAAAATATACAAGGTACTAAGTTAATTTTTGAATGAATATGTAATGTTATTATAACTATATATAAAGTAATAGTTAGTAAAGTTAAATATCCAAGTCAAAGTAACTTAGATTTAAATTGT